CCACCGGCCACCACCTCTCCGATTTGGAGGCTTTGCACCACCCCACATTTCGACCGGGGGCGTCTCTCTGTGGGCACCGGGGAAGGGGAGAAGGAGGAGTCTGGATTTGACCCTGGACACCCCCACCACCCCCGGCCTTTCTCAGAGGCCAAACATCAAGACATCACCTGTGCAGGGGTTGATGGAGATGCCAAGGTTGCCAACTGATGGGGGAAATCCCTCCCTGGGGCTGCTCCTGAGCCTATAAGAGCCAGGGAGCTTTGGAAGATTCAGCACGTGTGCTTCTTTCCCTAGAAGGAAGAGAGGGTGTGTGTGTGTGTGTGTTGCAAACAGATAAATCCTTCCCTGGGGCTGCTCCTGAGCCTATAAGAGCCAGGGAGCTTTGGAAGATTCAGCACGTGTGCTTCTTTCCGTAGAAGGAAGAGAGGGGTGTGTGTGTGTGTGTTTTGTTTTGCCAAAACTTGCCCCCTTGGTCAGAAATGTCTGCAAGAGCCTGTGGGCTGTTGCACCAAAACCAATGGGATACTCTTGTGGCTTCTTAAAGGCTAATGATCTCAGGCTGATCATATCTAGCCCTGTAATAATATGGCTTTGTGGATCCTAAGCAGTCAGGCCACAGAAAGCTGATTTCAAAGGAAACCAGATCAGGCTTGAAGGTGCCACATGGTCCCTCGCTTGTCTCCCGAGTTAGACAGAGGAGCAGGGGCCAGTTGCAAAGTTGGCAATGCTGAGGGTATTCACTTGGGTCTCCTACCTGAGGATCCTCTGGCGCTCCTTTGGGGCTTGGAGGGAGACCCGTCTTCCCCCAGTTGGACTCAGGAACGACGTGGAGGAAGGGAGGCTGAAAGAAGTAACGTATCACTCTTTGGTCGGCAACTACCTTTTCTGCNTTCCAAAGGAAACCGGATCAGGCTTGAAGGTGCCACGTGGTCCCTTGCTTGTCTCCCGAGTTAGACAGAGGAGCAGTGACCCTTTGCCACAATTCCTTCAAGCCTCCCTCTTTCACCATCGGGGCTGCTTGCAGGCGGGCACTTTTGGCCCAGCGGCTGCTTCCTGCCAATCTCCGTAAAATGTAAAGTCCAATTTTCTCCACCGAAGCCGAGAGGTGCTCCTTTATTCCCCAGATCATGGCTGGTTTTGGAAGCCCCCCCCCCAATCTCTGTCTGTAGGTCATGCCCTTGAAATCTTAGCACAGACCTTGGGAAGCTCTTAGGTCTGGATGAATGTGCTGACCTCTTTGTTCATGTGCTTGAACCATTGAGCCAGGTCGCCTTTTCAGTCAGGGCTCTTAAAGACCCATTTCCACGCATTCAAGTTCTAAAGGTGGCTTACGTCTCAATATTAAAACGCGGAGAGAAATTTATAAAATGTGTGAATTACTTCCTCCGAGTCCTGAATTAAAGTCGCCAGTGGGGTTAATTATTATTTGAAAAAATCATTCTGCGGGTGGTTAACAGTTTGTCAGGATCTGGGTGGCGGCAGGATCGGGGCCAGCTTGCTCCCGGGAAGAGCCCATTGTTTGCAGGATCAGGCCCTGCCAAGGTAGCAGCTGCTGGGGCCCTCATGAGGTCCACCTGGGAGCCCAGAGCAAAGGCCTACTTAAGGAGTGATTCTCCCTCCCAGAAGCTGCTTTGGCAACATAAGTCTTTGGCCAGATGGTGGTTTTCCTTTTCCTGTGCTTTTGAGCTCTGAAATTCCTGCTCCGGCTAAGGGTTCCCCCTCCTGTGGCCTGGTTCCAATTCTGGTGCTCCGGTTTTTGACTCCTATCCTGGCTCGTTGGTTTTGAAAGGTCCCATCTCTGCTTAGCTGTAAAAACTAACAGAATAACCTTCCACCCTGACCCGGCTTCTCTGCCTGACCTACACTGCTGGGTTGTTGTGAATGATTATGTATGTTGGTATGTATTTCTTTCTCCCTTCAGTACTTCTTTCTTTCCCGAGTTTAAGACTGTGGTTCCCAACCTTGGTAAAGAAAAGAACGGATGAGTTATGCATATCTGTTTGTTAAGAATTTAAAAAGTGAAAATAAAATTCCAGCTGGACCTTTTGTGTTAAATGGCATACTTTTTTTTTTAAATTAAATCTTTTCCCCCTGACATGCTCCTTTTCTAGCTGCAGGGAATTATTAGGAAGGTCCATTCCATCATATAAGCTTCCCACGTGTCGGTCAGGGTGTTTCAATCCAGAGCTGTTATTTACCACTGCAACTGCTCTTAGGAAAAAAGGAAATGGTTGCATGAGATTATTATTATTTTTAATTGCATAGTTTAATGCTTTTGTAGCTTTCAATTGCTGTGTGATTGGGGTCTTTCATCATCATCGTTTGGCAAGTTTTGCTCTATGTTTCATTTCAGTTTCAGTTACAGCAAACAGTTCTCCAATTTGCTCCATGTTTCGTTTCACAGTTTCAGTTACAGCAAACAGTTCTCCAAGACACTGCCCCCCCCAGTAGACTAGAAATACTTTAAATCCATCTTAATATAAGGGCATCCTAATATAAGTGCCCTGAGTCCCACCACCTTCATGGGTGTATCTGGTGGAGAAACAGGAGAGAGGGCCTTTGCTGTTGCGTCTCCCAGACTCTGGAACTCCCTGCCACTGGAGGCCACACTGGCCCCATCTTTACTGTCCTTTTGCAAGCAAGGACCTTTCTCTTCACGAAAGCTTTCCTTCAGGGACTATCTGCCTGAATGCGGTTCTTAAATGGATGGTTGTGCGCTACTGCTTTGAATATGTTTTTAATATTGCTTTCTAGTATCTTTTTTTAAAGTGTGGTGTTTGATCTTTTTTTAGTATTTGTATACTTCCTGCTTTTAGCTTTAAATATTGTCTTAATGCTGTGAGCTGCTTTGGGTCCTCTTTAAGAAGAAAGGGAAGGGGGGAACAAAATATTTTAAGTGCAATTTAAAGGAGGATTTTACCCTTTGTAATGGAGCCTTGCAAAGGCTATCTGGTGTTCCAAACCTTTAAATCCTTTTGCTTTGTCTCAACCAATCCAAGCGAATATTTTTACTTGGAGCTTGTAGCCTCACTCCCCATTAAATATAGATTTCCTGGAGGCTCCTTTTGGAGTACGGAGAATATAGGGCTCATGTTATCCCATAAAGATTTGGATGCTTTAAATTGAGACGGGGGGGGGGGGAGTTGCATTTCTTCATCTCTTTTGGTCAAATATTGTTGCCTATCTGGGCCATCCTTCATGGCTGTCTGTGGAATTTGGCTACTCCCGGACGCTCCTTTTGGAGTACAGAGAATATAGGGCGAATGTTATCCCATAAAGATTTGGATGCTTTAAATTGAGACGGGGGGGGGGGGAGTTGCATTTCTTCATCTCTTTTGGTCAAATATTGTTGCCTATCTGGGCCATCCTTCATGGCTGTCTGTGGAATTTGGCTAGCACACGAATGTTGTCTCTAGTTCCCAATTTCCCACCTACTTACTCAGTAAGAAAAGTCCATCATACTAGTACAGTGGTGCTTCGCAAGACAGCTATTTAAACAGCTGATTGGCGGTTCGCAAAGTGGCTTTCCTATGGCTGATCTTCGCTAACAACGATTTTCCCCATTGGGATGCATTAAACAGGTTTCAATGAATTCCAATGGGGAAATGTTTTTTGCTAGATGATGATTTCGCTAAACAGCGATTTCAGTGGAACGGATTATCATTGTCTAGTGAGGCACCACTGTACAGTCAATCAAAAGTATAAAAACGCTTACAAAAAAGTTTTTATAATTTTGATTGAATGTGGGACAGGAGGTGACATTCTTATTTATGAGCTGCGAGGTCATTTGGTGGTTTAGGGATCTGGCTGTGGAGCCAGAGGTTGGCGTTCAATTCCCCTTCAGCACGTCCTTGACAGAGGTCGGACTTGATGATCCAGAAGGCATTCAAGAGAAAACTGGAGAACCGTCTCTCAGATCTCCTTTAATCTGGAGGCATACCTTGAGCAGGTGGTTGGACATGATGGCCTTAAAGTTCCCTTCCCACTCCATGATTTGATGATGATGACTGGGACCGTTAGCTGGCTAATGGCCTCCACTTCTCGTAACTGACTAGAAGCAGCAAAAAGGGGTAAATTTTCAAGGATGAATCTATTCATTAAAGTTGTAAGTGGCCTTTCCTGAATGGGACTTAATTCAGAATAAACACTGAAGAGGAAATCTCACTATGAGGAAGGCCAGTACTAAGTAATATATTTAATAACGTATGGAACTTCTGTTTTAAATCCATTGTCACAGGGTCACAAGAAGCTGATTTCCCTTAACCCACCCCACAAAATATTGTCAACTCTGGTCAGCCACCATGTTTCTGCATGGCTTCTGGCAGAATCCTTTCGTGGCCGTTCCTGGAAACCATTGGGATTTCCTCCCGGTCCCCCATCCAACTCCCCATCTCTCTCTCTCTCTCTTTCTCAATCTCTCTAGGGGGAAAAAAAGACCCTACAAACCAATTCATGGTTCGTTGGTTCACCCTGGGGAAATTTGTGGCTCGTCAACCTCGACAAACCACGAACCAAGATGAGCCACCATTTCGGCGGTTCGTCCCCATCACTAGTTACAACATTATTAACTTTCCTGCATCTGTATAGTACAGTTTTTCTAAACAAATAAAAGCAGTCAAAGGTGACCTGATCGATTGGCTGTACAAACCAATTCATGGTCCGTTGGTTCACCATGGGGAAATTGGTGGCTCGTCAACCTCGACAAACCACGAACCAAGATGAGCCACCATTTCGGCGGTTCGTCCCCATCACTAGTTACAACATTATTAACTTTCCTGCATCTGTATAGTACAGTTTTTCTAAACAAATAAAAGCAGTCAAAGGTGACCTGATCGATTGGCTGTAAATCTGGGCTTTGCCTGCTGGTGTTGCAGATTGGAAAATAAACCATGCTTTGCTTGCAGGTGTTGAAGGCAGAGGCCTTAAGTGGGCCACACTGCATGTTCCTGATAGCCCATTATTAGATGAGAAAGTTTCTTAACTGCAACCCATATCTGATTGTCACAGTAGCAGTTTCCTGCATAGCTCAGTATAGTGGATCCTGTTGCGTGGTATAGTATTTCTGGTATCCTGTTGCGTGGTGTAGTACACTGCTATGCTTTGCTTGCAGGTGTTTAAGACCCTTAAGTGGGCCACACTGCATGTTCCTGATAGCCCATTATTAGATGAGAAAGTTTCTTAACTGCAACCCATATCTGATTGTCACAGTAGCAGTTTCCTGCATAGCTCAGTATAGTGGATCCTGTTGCGTGGTATAGTATTTCTGGTATCCTGTTGCGTGGTGTAGTACACTGCATAAGAGCAGGCCCATTGAATCATTAGGAATTTGGTGAGTCGGCTATTGGGCCTGCTCTAACTGGAACTTGCTTTATTAAAGTAAATTGCAGTCAGAGCAGGCCTGTTTCAATCATTGGAACTTACTGGGAGGGCTATGCATCAAATTCTCACTGATTCAATGGGCTTACTCTAGTGCAATTTACTATACTACAGGATTTTGCCCAGTTTGCCCTGGTGTTTTTGATCAGTCCCTTTGCAGCTGTGCAGTAGGATTTGAACACAGGGCTTTCCTAGCAGATGCTTATCAGCTATGCCACATCACCTCCCTGCTTCAGCTAGAAAATGCCCTGGTTAGAGAGAGAAAAATATTTTTTGCTTGGTGCCCTTATCAGGACTTGGATCAGCGCTCCTCCACGGAATCCGGGTATCGTGTTACTTCAGGATTTCAGCCAGTTTGCCCTGGGTTTTTTGATCCCGTCCCTTTGCAGCTGTGTGGTAGGATTTGAACACAGGGCTTTCCTAGCAGATGCTTATTGGCTAGGCTGCATCGCCTCCCTGCTTCAGCTAGAAAATGCCCTGGTTAGAGAGAGAAAAATATTTTTTGCTTGGTGCCCTTATCAGGACTTGGATCAGCGCTCCTCCACGGAATCCGGGTATCGTGTTACTTCTTAGGCCAGCCTTTCTGCGCTTCTGCTTTTTCCGTGCGCGGAGGTGCATTGTTCAAAGTGTGCTCACATTTCCGTTTCATATTTATTGTCCTGGCATGACAGAATGGAAATAGACAGTGGCGTGCAGGAGAAAGGCAAAATTCAAAGCGAACTGAACACGGATGAGGTAGTCCTCAAGTGAGTTTTAACTGGCCAGGTGTAAACCAGGCAGTGGTTCCCCCCCCCCCCAAAAAAAAAGAGAGAATAGAGATTATAGCAAATAACAATTTGCAAATTCATTCTGGTGGATCCTTATGAAGACAAAATGAGCACCAACATTACACTAGAAGGTGTCATCCATGGGCTTAAGGAGATCAGAGTGAATGAAGGCGTGATGATAGCCACTGGTAGGAGAGGAAGAAGACCAAGGATAAAACCCTCTCTAAATTTCCGTGGCTGAAGTCATTCCAAGCCACCAGTGGCATTAACTTTATTCCTTAAAATGCAGCGATAGCTAAGCTTTATCACTATCATAAAATCCAGTTTGCCGGGTTGTAACTGAGAGCCTGCCTCCTTAAGGCTGAAAAGTCATGGGAGGAATGAGGAAAATATAGTTACAAATCTCATTTTGCAGCCCAAAACTATGAATGTGTGTGAGCTTTCGAAATGGGAATTTTATTTACAACCTCACAGGCATCTGTAGTGTGAATGAATTTCTGGGCTGGGGTGATTATCTATACAGTACTAACCAATAATTCCTTACAGCTTTTGAAATTCAAAAAGAGCCTGTCCTCTCTGCTGAGTCTTCTTTCCCTCACTTTTGTCAGCTGGTGGGTGGCAGGTTTTGTTTCCATTTTTCGTTGTTGATCTGGTTGGTTGGTAGCTAGTAAGTGTGTAGTGAAGAAAGCAGTATACGTAAGTCTGTAATTTCAAGTAACTGTATCAATTTCTTAGAGGAAAGATTTTATTATGATGATTTTTCCTACAATTGTTACAGAGTGAGTTATTGAAAGTGCCAGTTAATGAGAAAGGGGTGGACTATCTGGGGAACTTATAGCTATTCTCCTCTGTAGCTCTGTGAGCAAAATACTGGCTCCTCCTGGAACCTCTTTCTCTCTGTTCACTACATCTCAGCCCTTTGACAACTCCTGCCTCTGTTTCTTTTCTAAATCAAATTGCCTTTGAGAATGAGCTATGCAAAGAGCAGCTGATTTGTATCAGGAAGAATGAGTTTTTCAGTCAGCTGGACAGGTGTGTTGTGCGTCCCTGCTGTTTGCATATGGCGGAGGCTGCCCAGAGGATGGAAGGAAAGAGAAACAACAGGGCATTAGGGGCCCGGCCCGCCCTTCTGAAAAGAAAATTAATTAAGGCACCCGCTTTATCTCTGACTGGAGAACATAGCTAACTCTGCCCTGTTTTCCTAACCTGTTCTTATTTCAGTGTGGCAAAACCTTGGAGTGAAGTTTCTAGCCCTCAACAGGAAGCACGCTGGACTCTTGCCAGGTCACAGAGAGCTACATGATCCATTCATGCTCTGGAAAAAAGGATGGAGTGAAATTGTACCCAGTGGCCCCGATGCAACTTCTGTACCCAGTCAGAAAGTGTGTAGAGAGCTTATACCTGCGTAGGAAGAAGTGGTGATTTCTGCATTTGCAACTGATGGGCCAAATGAAGAGAGGGCCATGATCCAGAGTTTTAGGGAGCTGCTCTGGTCTCAAGTCACGTGCGAGACCCTACGAAATGCAGAGAGCTTCTGTCCACGTCTTTAGAGTTTGTATGTTCCTCACATTTGATCTCACTTTCCAAGGCTTTAGGGAGGGTTTCCCCTACTATTTGGAAACAGTTGCATTGTGTAGCAGGCTAGGATGTCCAGAAAGGGCAGCACATTGAGGTTTATTATCTTTGCTATTATTATTTTAACCATCAGAGATGCCAGCGGAACCTCCTGCCTCATGAGTTAAAATGACACGGCTGCCTTGAGATAAGATATGCTATGAGTCAGATGCATGCAACAGAGTCTCAAATATTGCTCTGCCTCAGGCATCTTCATGTCTTGGGGTGGCCTTGGTAATATTATGGGGTGGTTCTTGTGTCCCTCCTAATCACATATTCATTTGCACATACAGGTGTGCATGAACGTAGCGGAGGCTGCTGTCTCCAATTTCATGCAGTCCAGGGACACCGCTGCGGGATTTAGTCTGAACTTTGCAAGATCTGTCCATGGTACTGAATTGATTTTAGGAATTGAAATCTGTGTCTTGGGTAGCTCTTCCGAAGAGCTTCAAATGATATTTTCACCACAATCGAGGGGCCAAGTAGCTCTTACTATCTTTCCGTTTGCCTCGTAGTTAGTTTTGTAAAAATAGCCTCTCTTAATCATGAGCGATGGAACAGCTTTTCCTACAGCTGCTCAGTGAATGAGAGGCATCGGCAGTACAAGGGGAAAAAAACATTAAGGGCAGTGGAGGGAACAGAAGGGGAGATCTGGAGGAGTGAGTGAGCTTTGTCCCATATGCTACGCAAATTTTATTTCAAGTATTTTAAAGCTGCTTTTCAAGGGACTCCCTCCTGGAATGACAGATCACCCCCCCCCAAAAAAAGATGGGAGATAATGTTTGATAGAAAGCTGATCACATAGGGAACAGATGTCCAGAACAGTTCCTCTAATCTCCTGTCAAACACAGACTTGCCAAGGATGGTGTTAAAGTTTAGCCCTGCCTGCATTATTAATTAGGAAGATTTCAACTAATTCTTTAATGTTAGCATTTAAAAATCAATTTTTAATTGTTGTACACTGCTTCTAGATGACATTGAATATAGGGAATAGTGTTGAAATCAGTATGATCATGAGAATGATTGTAACAATGTATTGGAGTATTAGAAATAAGTTCAGATGTACAGTCTAAGAAGTAGGTTTTCTCAAGATGCGCTCCAGCTGTTAACTCTTTGATATGCATTTTCCTTCACTTTCTCTCAAAACGTTCAATATTAGGCATATATATCTTGCGAAAGAATGATGCTGAAGGTGTTAAAAATTCTTGTTATACAATCTGTACTTCTCCGTTGCTCCCTTCCTTTTTGCTAAGCTCCATGCCTTCTCAAAAGGCAAGGGGTGTGGGTCTTTAGCAAAAAGAAAGGGGAGGTGTTTTTTTCCCTTCCATTTTGCTAAGCTCCGTGCCTTCTCAAAAGATGAGGAAAAGCGGCAGTCATTTTGACAGCCCCTTTCCTTGCCTTTTGCCAAGGCACGGGGCTTAGCAAGAAGGGAGCCCTTTGATCTCTGCTTTTTCTAATTTGGGGTTAGAAAAGGGGGGGGGTTGTCTTATACATTGGGTCGTCTTATACACGGAAAAGTACGGTAAGAAATGTAAAAATGCTCATTTATTTCTTGGAATGCTGAGACTTCGAACTAAGCACACTTTGTCGAATGAATGGGGACTTGCTGTCAAGATGGACTTGAGTTGCACCGGTGATTCATCTCGGACTCAATTTGGGGTTTTTTTCCCTTCATGATTCAGAATTGACTGTTGAGTTGCACCGGTGATTTGTCTCGGACTCAATTTGGTTTTTTTTTTCCCTTCATGATTCAGAATTGACTTGCGCCTTAGAACCCACCCAGCCCTGCCTATTTATGTTTAATAGGGACTCCGACTTGGGGCTAGGGACTTGGTACCAAAGATATGTTTAATAGGGACTCCGACTCAGGGCTAGGGACTTGGTACCAAAGATTTGGACACAAAGACTTGACAAGTCCCTGCTTTGTTGTGCTTGTGGACGTGAAATTCAGCCTAGTTGGGCAGCCACGGTGGCATCAAATGTTCACCCCTTCTGACATCAAGGCCGTTGGTACTTCAGCTCCTGGGGGCGGGGTGGGCGGGGAACGGAAACCAGCAGTTTGGCTGGGAGTCATTTCTCCAAAAGGGGATGGCTGCAGATGAGCGAGAGACTGCAGTCGCAGGATCCAGGGCATTCAGGAAACCCAGAAGCAAGAATACCAAAATAGTGCTCTGGGGAAATAGAATGAAAGGACAAGCTAATGAATCAAGCTGCAGGCTAAAAGCCAAGGAGATTTGGGAGCTAACATAACAAAGAAGAACTTTGAAGAAGCTCCCTTCCCTGAATGGAAATTTGGAAAACTGAGAGAAGTACCAGAAATGTTAGTAGGAGCCCCATATCCGTGGGAGCAGTATCCACGGTTTCATTTTTACACAATCTAAAAATATTAAATGAAAATAGCTTAAAAGTACATATTTTCATGATTACCAGAACCGGCCACTAGAAGGAGCCAGATACCATGCTATGTATTCTTCAACAGCAAGAATACCTAGCATGATCTCTGGCTCCCTCTATTGGCCCGTTCTAGTAATACGTGGTGAAAATACATATTTCAGGATTATTATTTTTTTCTTTTACCAGGGTATGTATAGTTTTTGCTATTACTAGCAGTTTTCAGCATCGGCAGGTGGGGGGCTTGGAACCCATCCCCTTGAAGGTCCTACTGTACAACTAGAAACTAGGCATCAAACTGTATGATACAGATTAGCAAGATATTAGAAGGTACAAGTTTTTAAAATGCTGGTTGTAGCATGACTCCTAGCATGATCTCTGGCTCCATCTACTGGCCCGTTCTAGTAATACGTGATGAAAATACATACAAAGTTTTTAAAATGCTGGTTGTAGCATGACTTTGTCACACTTCCTATAACTTGTAAACCAGTTTGTTGTGCTTTATGATTGGCCTTGGAAGGCAAAAGTTTATGTTTAATGGGGACTTAAACATGGTTGTTGACTCCCGGTCCCTGGAATGTGTGCCATTTATAGCATGTTGTTTGACCCCTAGGTTTTGTAATGTATAGTTTGACCCTACCTAAAACAAAGGACTTGAGGCTAACATGAGCAGTCGAATAGTAGAGTTACAGCAGAGGGAAACCAGGCTGAGAGCAGGACAGAAGATATGTTCACGGGCTCATTTCCCATTGCTTTATTTTCTAGAATCGGCTGTCCCAACCCATGCGAGGGATATTTCTGCCGACTTGATGAAACAGTTTGCTTTTCTTTCCGGTGAGTACGGTCCACTTCCTTTTGTTTCTCACTCACCTTGAAACACATATTAGGGTTTCTCTTAAGTCGGTTCTGACGGGATGGCATGTCACAACCCCCACCCTAAGAAGGCATTAGGATACAAATAGTCAACGTGAAAATAATTCCAAATTGCCCAGATCCGTGATAGCTGGGGCACGAGAGACCAAAGTAAGACATGCCTCTGCAATTAGCAATTTAATTGGAGACGAGGGTTAGAAAGGGGTTCAGTGGGGTTTGGTTAACAACTGGACACTTTTCCATCGCATTCCCTACCTTTATTCCAACTAGGTGGGCGAGGAAAGGACCACGGCTGGATCATAACATTTCCCGAAAACTCCAGTTTCAACCAATTGCCTGAGGAGGTTGTGAAAAAAGTTTTGAGCTACTTAACTTGGATCCCAAGGTACCGATTTTGCTTTAGGGTTCATGCCCAGTAGATCTTGTATAACTTTGTGTTTAAGAGCCCGCTTTCAAACTGGTTGTGAGAAAAAGGAACATTATTATTTCCCCCAGTTTACTGGAGTCCTTCCTTCCCAATCTTGAAGGCATATCCAATTGAGAAAAAGACATCCTACCACACAGCGGGAATGGCGGGGCCGTGTTCCCAGAGGTCTAGAAACTTGAGAAAGAGGGCCATTTGAAAAGGGAAACCTGAGAATCTGTGTGTCTCTGTTTTGATGTGAATTATGTGCATTCGTCTGAATTGCGTGGGAAGGTTCAAACTAGACAAACAGTAGGGTATCTTCATTAATGTCATTTGTAAATACAAAAAATTGTCCTCTAGCTAATGTTAAAGACAAAATGGCGGTGTGTTGAACGTCCTTGCAGCATAAATGTTAGAACTCCAAAACATCAACCGAACTATCAGAAAAGGGGTTGGAAGGTGAAATGTAGCCAGTAATATACCGTATTTTTCTGTGTAAAAGACTATTGTCTAAAATCTTTAGACTAAAAATTGAGGGTTGTCTTATACATGGAAGTAAGCTGAGGAGAGAACAAAAACAAGTGGAGGGGAAAGCAGGGATCAAAGCGATCCTGCAGCACTTTGATCCCTTTCCCCCTACACTTGCTAAGCCCCACTTAAATTTCTTAATTTTGGGTTAGAAAAGTGGGGGTGTCTTATACATGGAAAAATAGGGTAATTGCGATTGAATTACTGGCGCAACCAATGGAGTTCATCTCAAGAGCTTATGCTACATATTAGATGAAGAAATGAGACTGTCTTTTGAAGGGTTTTTTTTTTTTTTGCAATGGAAGATTTAACAGCCAGGTGGTTCCCATGAAAATAACTAAAATCCCCAGAGCAGTGATTCTTCTGCAGCTGGGGCATACAATGGGATAGTAGAGCTTTTAGAGTCCATGGCAGCCTTCTCCTTTCCTGCTGCCAATGGTGGATGTACATTTTGGGGTTCCCAAAGCTTGAACTCTTATGGGGGCGCCCTTTGCAACTAGCAATAAGCTCTGGGTCTCCACGGTTACCTTATTCAGTGGTGTTGTTCCATGACAGGTCATCACTAGAGATAGCAATTAAGCTAAAAACGAACCAGGAAATTCGTGAAAAATCATCAGTTCATTGCTTTGGATGGTTTCAGGTTCATCCGAACCAGAGGAACCGAACTTTCCCGAAGCAACGAATTTTGGGGCAACGCAGCGAATTTCCTGCTTCATTCATTCACTTGCCTTTGTCTTCAGATAGCCTTTCTCTCTGTGACTGCTTGCCTGATTGGGGTTTTTACATGATTGCGCCTTCCTGTTTTGAACGTGTTGTTGATATTGCTTAGAGTGGTGTGTGATTGTTTTTAGTATTTTTGAATACTTGCTGTTTTTCGCTTCAAATCTTGTCTTTTAATGAGGTAAGCCACCTTTATATACTTAATGTTTTTAGCTTTACATATTGCCTTTTTAAAGATGTAAACTGCCTCGGGTCTTTTGTAAGGACAAAGGCATTATTTTAAATAAATAATAAGGTTCATCTTGGGGAATTGAAAATGGGCTGTTCCACTTTCCTCCACAGCCCTGGCAGGGCCTTTTCTAGTCTGTCGTTGGCACGAGAGCTTTGACCCATCAAAAACTCAATATTTTGTGGCATGTTTTTCTAGGCTGTGTGTTTGTGTGTGTGTCAGAAAGAGAGATGAAATACTCCAAATAAATCTCTGATTAATGGTTTGACAATTGACAAAGGGAGTGAGCAATTGGGTTGGGCAGGTTGAAGGTGTGTGATATTTACTCATGTACACAAGATACTTACGTAGTTTCGCTGAGGAAGCTGCCCCTTAAATTTGAAGGCCTGGTTAAATGAGTACCAGCTCTCAGAAGTCTGTTCAGTAGGTGTGCTGCCCAGTGGCACCTGGTGAAACTATGGAGTAAATTTATTTATTTTCTTTTAAAAAAAAATATTGATATGTCGCCTAGAGGATCCATGGCCGATTGCCATCTTGAAAGAAACAAAACTAATCCCCAGTGTATCTGCATAGCATCAAGCTGGAAGAAGTCTTAAACTCTAAACCAGGCTTGTCCAACCTTGGCCCTCCAGAAGTTCTTGGACTACAACTCCCAGAAGCCTTCACCACCACCTCTGCTGGCCAGGATTTCTGGGAGTTGAAGTCCAAGAACATCTGGAGGGCCAAGGTTGGGGACCACTGCTCTAAACCTAGCTATAACAGGGATGGGAAGAATGTGTTCCTCCCGATGTTCTTAGACTACAATTCCCACAATCCTTGGATGGGATGTTCAGGACCAGCCCTACAATGGGCCAGATTTGCCTTGAGGCAGGAGATGCTGAGAGATTGACAGCGAATTCCTCCCGATGCTCTTAGACTACAACTCCCACAGTCCCCGGATGGGATGTTCAGGACCAGCCCTACAAGGGGACAGATTTGCCTTAAGGCAGGAGATGCTGAGAGATTGACAGCGATGACAGTGTTTGTGGTGTTTTAAGGATAGAATGGCTTCAATCTGCCCACCACTGATATGGCAAGTTATTTTTCCAACACTCTGTTGCTTAAAAACATACCCAGCCCCCTGTCTAGATATGATAAAAGAACAATATAAACCCTTTCTGGGGCTTGCTTATGAACTTGTTATTGTCCTGTTGACTTTTGAAATAAACCTGACTGGGTGGATACAATTGAAAACGCAATTTAAAAAGCAACAACAAATGAATTCTTTTTTTGAAGATTGAAAAATCACAAAATCCTTTTCAAATCACAAAATCCTTTTTACAAATTTTATTTTCCCCCCATTAAATCGCAACATTTGATTCTTTAATTTAAATTGTGGTTGAAATCCATTTGATGAAAAGAAATCATTGGTTTTTATCTACCCTGAAACTAAAGGGGGGGATAGTTATTTGTTACGCCATTGAGCTCCTTTGAATCCTGCTTGGTGTATCCCCTTTGACATGATTCACTTGGGTATATGCAATTATTGCAGGAATAGTTACAATAAAGTAGTTAGTTAGTTAGTTAGTTAGTTATAGGAATAGTTACAATAAAGTTGTTAGTTAGTTAGTTAGTTACAGGGAATTAACTAGCTTGTAGCACCCTATTTCATGGTCCGCATCCATGTCCTTGCAGGAATTAAGTAGCTTGTAGCACCTTATTTCATGGTCCGCATCCATGTCCTTGCAACAGAAATACCCATTTGTGCAGCAAAAAACATATTTTTTAAAAAAGAAAGCAGCTGAGGGTCGGGCAGAAGAGTCTCATCGTGTGGCTTTGAACAACCTGTTCCGTATTTTTCAGCTCTCTCCTTATCTTATAGCCAACGCAAATCTGACAGCAAATTTATCCTAATCCTGGATAAACGGCTGGATACCTGGACGTCCATCAAAATGTCTCTCCAACGAATCGCAGTGAGTCCTTTTCTGATGATTGAAGGCTTGCTGGGGATGTGGAAAGTTGCTTTGTATTGGGACAAACAATTTATTTATGGTTCATGTATTTGTTTGTTACATACTGTACATATCCCACCTTTCTTCTGACAAGCTCAAGGCTGCCTGTACAGCAGCCTCTTCCTCACATTACACTCATTACACCCTTGTGAGGTAGTCCAGCCACAGTGGGGGTGACTAGCCCAAGGTGCCCAGTGAGAAAGAGTGGGGATCTGAACTCAAGTCTCCTAAATCAGTGGTCCCCAACCTTGGCCCTCCAGATGTTCTTGGACTTCAACTCCCAGAAATCTTGGCCAGCAGAGGTGGTGGGGAAGGCTTCTGGGAGTTGTAGTCCAAGAACATCTGGAGGCCCAAGGTCTAAATGGTAGCTGACTTCTCTAAACATCGTGTCACCTTGGCTCCATGGATTGCAGTTCGTTCTTTTCAGAATGAAAGCAACTAAATAGTAGCTTACTTCTCTAACCACCATGTCACCTTGGCTCCATTGACTGCAGTTCGTTCTTTTCAGAATGAAAGCAAAGCAACGGGTGCTGTTAATATACTGCTTTTATCTACCACCCCATAATGCTTAGAGTACACTCTGGGAAATTTGTAATTTACAATTTAATCATGCAGGCTACACATTGCCCCCCCCCATCTCAGCAAGCTGGCTGCTCAATTTACTGAACTTGGAAGGGCGAGTCAACCTTGAGCTGGCTACCTGGACCCATCAGGATCAAACTCAGACCATGAGCTGAGTTTTCACTGCAATACTGCAGTTTAGCCACTGCCCCAAAAGCCTCCTTCTATCAACAGCTCTAGGGGGACGATAGAGAGAGAACGATGGTTCAGGTCACCCACTTCCTGATCTCAAGGGAGACGTCTAGAGCAGCATGAAAGTAAACACACAGGTGATGATGTTGCATTGCTGCTCATTGACCCATTTGCCCTTTGCATGCATGGCTGTGGGTTGGGTGCGCAACCTGGGTCATGACCAGGAATGCAAGCGGCAACTGGTTAATTAGCAGCTTGTTGCCTCCATGATTTATGCCATTGCACTTAACAGCGGTGTAAACCCCCATTCTGGAACCCTGTCAGGCCATTAACGAAGTGCCGGCTGTGCTGGACATCAAACAATACCCATCTTAGGGCAGTGTCACCATTACGATGGTGATGTGTGTGTTTTAGCTGGTCTTGGAAAGCTATTCCCTTAACAGGAATGTTGGACGCAGGGAAATAAGTGCATCTCCGAACTTCTGCATTCCACCTTAAAAATGCACATCTCTCTCTTTTTTTGGCCACAGAGTGTCTCTCTCTCTGCTTCTTCCTCCTCTCAGCTCTTGCCGGCTAGAGCAGCCAACAGCCTTTCACGGCTTTGGCACTGGTGCCCAATTCATTCTCCTTTTGCCCGGCTAAGACTTAGGGAATGATCCAGTCCAGCTGGACACAATCCACGAGTGGCTGATGGCCACATGGGTCACCCCTAGTGGTCCTGATCTGCACGCAATGTGTGCTTCCCCCGTGTCCTCTTTCCACCCATGGTGATGCTGCAGCAGTAGTGGCGGGAGAAGCTGGCTACCCTTGGCGATTTTTAAGGCAAATGGGCCCTGTGGCACGGATGCTGCATTGACTTTTGGGGCAAGTCGCGGGAGGGTCCCCCTGCCTGCGTGGGAGATGGCCGAGGCAGATTCTCCTCCGAGAAGCAGCACGATGAGGTGCCGGCGGAATGCGGTAAGGATTTGTGCGCCTCCCTGCAGTCTCTCTCTCTCTCTTTTTTCCCCTTCCCTTTTTGCAAATCAGACTGTACGTTCATGTGCTGCCTTCATGCAGCAGCAGGAAGCTGGCCGCGCTGCGTTCCAGCACAAACTGCTGAACACAGCGCCTACAAGAAAGGAGGCACACACACACACTCAGCCTTTGGCAGTGATGGGTCCATTTTCCAGTTGGCCTCACAAGGGTTGCCAGCGATACCGGCAAGAGATTTTAAAAGTGGATCTTAAGAATCTCTCTCTCCTTCTAAATCTCTCTCTCTCTGTGCCGGCTTTCCCTCCCTCCCTCTTTGAACCATGGAACAGTTGAGCATCATTTTTTTTCTTTTTTTGTCCTTGAAGTGGGGGGAGAGACGCCTTGACCAGAAAATGCCTAATTCTTTGGTGGACCCTCAAGGAAAAAGAAAAATGTAGGGCAAGGATTTTAGAGCAGGAAGCTCAGAAACACACTTGATTCATGCACCCACGACCCCTACCTTACTTCTTAACCTGCTTTTTCCCTAGATTTCCTGTCCATGGTGGGGAAAAATCATTTTTTTTAAAGAGGGGAGGTCTCTAAAACTTCAGTTAACCTGTCCAGTTGATTGATCCTCCCCAAGTCTGTCCAGAAGTTGCTTTAGGAAATTTTGATGTCACATCAGTATCTTGAGTGATGTGAAGACTTACGCATGGGCGTAAAATACCCACCCCTGCATTTTCACCCCTTCCCCGCCTTTCCTAAGCTCGATACAGTACTATAAATGCAAGGTTGTTTTAAATCAGCGCTCTTCTGGAAGTTCATGGAGTCAACCTTAAGCCCTCCGCCCACCCTCTGTTGTTGGTAGCCTCTGGCCTGCTGAAGAGAGCTGCAGAACTCTGAGGCTTGCAGATTTTTGCAGGCTGGCTTAATAAGAAACTCACATCCCCCATGATTTGCACGGACCCTGAGCAGCATGTTTTTGGTTATACGTGGAGTTTTTTTCAATTAATAAATAAATATGCCATAAATGCTGTGCTGCTTTTTGTCTCCGTGAACTAACCTGAAAAAAAAGGGGGGTCTTGGATTTACTGAAGACCCTTTTGGTGATGGGGTGGTAGCCCAGTCTGATGGCAATGGTCTGGCCAGTCCCTACTCCTGGCTATGGTGGCTCAATGTGGGGCCAGGAGGGTGCTGGGAGGCTAATGTGGGTCAGGAGAGGTCTGTGTCTCTGTGTATTAATGAACTGTTCATGCTTTGTAGTTAAATTTGGGGGGAGCACAAGAGTTACACACAGGCGGTTGTTGTAGGTTTTTCGGGCTGTTTGGCCATGTTCTTAAGGTTTTTCTTAATGTTTCACTAGTCTCTGTCCCCCTAAGAGGGAAAGATGATACGTCACTGTGATTGATGGGTGCCCTTAAAATACCCCCTAAGGGGGAAAGATGATACATCACTGTGATTGATGGGTGCCCTTAAAAACACACACACAAAAAGAAACATGCTGATCACCATAATCACCCAATCTCCTGAAAAGGACAAAAGCTGATCCCACAGCTGTAAATACTCAACTATCCCACAAACTGCAGCAGAGCACAGACAGAGTCCTGACTCCTGTCCTCTGAGGATGCTGGCCACAGAGACTGGCCAAACGTTAGGAAGAAAAACCTCAAGAACTTGGCCAAACAGCCCGAAAAACCTACAACGACCATCGGATCACAGTTGTGAAAGCCTTCGAGAATACAGTTACACACAGATTTTGAACTACACCGCGTTCAACCCCAATGTTGTTGAAGGATAAAACGTAATAGGGATTTTGAAGCCTGGTCTGTTGCGTGGAATTAAAAGAATTTATAATACGCAGTCGGGGCCTGAGTTGGGTCTTTAGGAAAAGAGGAGGACAAAAAAAGGAGTGCTTCATTTAGAAATCTTCGCTGTCGCAATACGGGTTTCTGCAGGAAAAAGTGATGTTGAGCACATTGCTGGTGCTTTTGGAAGGTAACAGTGAAGAAGACTTTGCCAGCAGCAAAGGGGGTTTGATCCCCCCATGGTGCCTCAGTGGTCCATAGTGTCCCTTCCTGCTCTGCAGGTCCACCTTCTTAGCTTCACTGAAGAGCTCAGTGGTTTGGCTGCGGAGCCAGATGTAGGGGGTTCGATTCTCCGCTAGACAGGGACTGGACTCAATGGTCCAAAAATGAACAAGACAATTTTTCCCTGCCATTTTCAAAAGGGATTTTAAAAACCATCAAGAGAGAGAAAGAGAGAAAGAGAAAGGGGAGGGAGAAGAGGAAGTCTCGAGCAGAGACCTTGTGCGTGGCAGGGGAAGACACCTGAATGAAAGCGATTTGCTTATGTAAGGCTCGGAGGCAAGGTTAAAAAAAAAGCCGGGCTCTCCTTCCTTTCTCCCTCCTCGCTTGCAGAAGAGGGAGGGTGGATTTAAGGTGGCAAGAGCTGAACTGGATGAGCAGGACCAGATTTGAAACTTCCTCTAGTCGAAGATGGTTGCGTTGAGCAAAGCTTGAACAGTTTGCTTTCTCCGGCTACGGTTTCCAGAATCCACACTGGCCATGCAGCGATGGGTATGAACTGAACCACGAACTTTGTGCAATGGGGGGAACGAACTGGACTGGTTCATTGTTTGTGCTGTGGTTCGTTTCAGGGAGCCCATTTTGCCGAAACAAAACAAAGTGCTGGATTTGTTTCGCCCCTCAACGCTTCATTTTGCTTTGGCTAAACGGGGTGCCGTGCTCCCCCCTGGCCCTGTGGCCTCCTTCCGTTGTCTTGCAGCTGCCGCCACCACCATCTTGAGAAGCACCAGGCCCGGCTCCTTGCACAGAAGTCTCTCAGGATGGTGATGGAGGTGGATTCGAGACAAGAGAGGGAGGTGACGTGGGAGGGGCCGACAGGTAGCCCCCCCCAGCACGAACCTGGACAATAAACCGCAAACTGGTTTGTTTTTCTGTGGATTTGTGATAATTCGTAGTTTGTGAGGAGCCACGAACCACCACAAATCCCTGTTTTTTTCACAGTTTGTGCCCTTCTTTGGTGATGGGTAATACTAATTCCTTTTCCCTTCTCTGTCCTTCCCTCTCTTTTTTCCAAACCGTAGGCGTCCTTTCCTGGCAGGCTCCACCTTGTCATGGTCCTGCGTCCCACCGGATTTTTCCAGCGCACTTTTACCGACATTGGGTTCCGGTTCAGCCAAGAAGATTTCCTGCTGAAGCTGCCGGTACGACACGTCTCATGTTTCTTTCCCTCAATCCTAATATTCTGCATATTTCATACCTGTGCGTTTCTTCGTTCTATGGCTGTTTGCTTTCGTTCAGCCTTAATGTACTTTTGCAGTTATTATAAATGCGAATACTTCCAAACGCTACTCGCTCAGCCTTTGTGGGTTTTCAGCGATGCTGTGAGGGAAAGACAAAAATGAGGCATTCCTTGATATTTGGAAGGTTCTGGAAGACATTGTTTTAAAGTCAGTCACCTGTCACCTTCCAGATGTTGAATTACAAATCCCATCATCCTTGACCGTCAGACATGTTGGCCGGGGCTGACAGAAGTTGGAATCTGGCAAAATGAAGCCAGGTGACCCCTTCCTTCCCCTCTTCCCTTTCCATTGCCAGGCAACGACCTTCCTTTTAAGTATTAAGTGGGGTGGCGGGTTCGAGAATGCTATGTTTATTAAATTTAGAGATCTCTAAATGTTTTCAAAACTGTTTTTTTCATCTGGGTCTTAATATTGATAAAGACTTAACTGGTTTTTAGTATAGTGGTTTGCAGTGCAGTAGAACCCCCATCCACTGATTCGCTTACCCGCTGTCTGAAAATACTAAATAAAAACCCAGAAATGCATATTTATACGTATTTCCATGGTGTACTTACCAGACTGGGCTACTAAAGGGAGCCAGAGACCACGCAATGCAGAGTGTTCAATATTTTGGGTGTTCACAGGGGACTTGGGGGGGGGGAGTGTTCAATACTTCCACCTATTGGGTGTTCACAGGGGACTTGGGGGGGGGGAGAAAACAGTCCCCCATGGATACTGCAATTCTACTTTATTTTAAAAAATGTAGTCATGGCATAGTTGTTGTGGGCTGCCTTGGGTCTCCTATGGGGAGGAAGGTGGCATATATTAATTGTTGTGGGCTGCCTTGGGTCTCCTACGGGGAGGAAGGTGGCATATAAATAAAGTAAATAAACATGTGGAAAAGATTGCATCCTGTAGAATCAGATTTCTCGTTCTGTACCATCTTCTGTTTCTTCTTTACAGTAGCTATTCCCCTTTCTCCCCTTCTCCTCCAGGTGGTGATGCTGAGCTCAGTCAGCGATCTGTTGGCCTATATAGATGAGAAGCAGTTGACCCCTGAACTTGGGGGGACCCTGGAGTATTGCCACAGCGAATGGGTCATCCTCAGGACGGTACGCCCCTTGCCTATATGCTGTGGACATTTTTAATGGACTTAAACAGGTTGCTTTTGAAAGGTGTGATGGGCTATGCATGGGTGTGGCGATGGGGGGCACAATCCAGAATGCATTTATTATTTTTATTATACATTTTTTACACTGGTTTGTAAGCTGGTCATGAATTATGCTGGAAAACCTCTGAAAAATTATTGCAGACACTCTCGGGTGGACAGAGTGGAAGGAATGACAGATGGATGGACTGTATTGGTTAGGAAATTCCAGCCTCCTGCCTTTTTTGCTTTTTTTTAATGAGAGGGATGCCCAGTATGGTGTAGTGGACAGAGCAACAGACTAGGACTCGGGAGGTCTGTGTTCAAATCCCCACAGTGTGGAACTTGATGGGGACATGGAATTGATAAAACCTCTCATTAAGTATCTCACTTACCTTGAAAGCCCTATCAGGGTTGCTACAAGTCAGTTCTGACTTGATGGTACAGAACATAAGGGTTATATGCACCTTTTAAAAACATGGGGTGGGCGAATTGGTTCCTTGTGTTTTACAGCTCGCCCACCCCAGCACTAAGCTGGCTTATAAACAAAAGAACCACTTGGTTTTCCCTAGGCCATAGAAAGTTTTGCCCTCATGGTGAAGGAAATCGCCCAGATGTTACAGGCCTTTGGCATGGAGCTGGCAGAAACGGAGCTGCCGGACGACACCTATGCAATTGAACGGATCCTGGCCCTGCGCACGGAGAAATATTACCAGCTAAAGGCAAGTCCCCATCAGCAAGCACTGCACTATGAGGGAAGCTGTTTTTGGTTTTCAGGGATTTACACATTTTTATAACTAGGCATAAACCTTAGTTTTAATCCTTTTAAAATATATCTGTGGTTCTTCAGATGTTCTTGGACTACAACTCCCAGAAGCCTTCACCACTAGCTGTGTTGGTCAGGATTCCTGGGAGTTGAAGTCCAAGGGCATCTGGGGACCCAAGATTGGGGAGTGCTGGTTTATATCATCAGTGTACAACACATTCACAGACCTTCCTTGGCAAACGGTTCTATCCTGCCCTTGAAAATCTGGCAGCCTACCTTTGGTATAAAAAGAGGCCATCAAGAGATAAATGCCAGCTAGTTTTTCCTCAAGTCGGATCCCGCCACATGTAGGGGACTCCAAGTCTTATAACCTCCAGCCATCATGGCTCATGGCGGAGGATGTTGTGCAATGGAGTCCAACCCAACGAGGACGTTGGCAGGTCAAGGATAGGTTGATTCCAAAGAGAGAGACTTCAGGTTTGTTTTCAGCTGGGGCAGAAGTTTGAAATATCTTGTTTTGATGCAATGGTTCTTTGCCGGCTGCTTTGATCTCCCTTGCTGATAAGGCCTCTGCAATTGATGACATTGCAATAGCCATGCTTTGTTACTTTTTTGCAGGAAGATATAACGACAATTACCAAACAAGGAACCCTGCTCTTGTGTAGCTTAGAGGAACCAGACACCGATGAAGCTGATGAAGAGGAAGCTCAGGAGAGGACCGGCGACTGGGAGACAGTCAGCAGGTGAGGGTGGACAACAACACAATTTGCTTGGCATCAGTTGCATCCATCTGGAAGAAGGTATGGGAGGCCATTACATGGACAGTAGTTATCACAAGGAAGAATTTATCACATCGTTTTGCATTTCTGGTTAAAATTCTCTATTTGATACACAGCAGAAATACAGAGACTTACAGAGGAGAATAGCTTCAAGTTCCCCAGATAGGCCACCCCTTTCACATGAATTGGCCCTTACAGTCTCAAGAACTCACTCTGAGACATTAGTAGTAGAAGGAACAACAATACTTCAGTACTTACAGTTGTGAACAGATCAACAGCAAACAAACTGTGCTTGCAACAGACTAAAAAGAGGTAAAAGGAAAGCTCAGCTGTGAGGCAGGGCTCTCTTTAAATTCAGAGGTGGGAAGGAACAACTGGTTAATGCTGGATAGATTGACAGTCCCCTCAGCCCAGAAAGGGCCCTTCCAGCCACACTTTGTACAGGCAGCATGTAAGGTTGTAATAACTCCAACAGAATTTACAGTGACAAGCATATGCAAAGTCTACCAAAACTGTGGAACTCATTGCCACTGGCCCACTCTCTGTTGTCCCTGCATAGGCAAACACTTTATTGTTCAGGCAGGCTTCAGGCAAAAGAGATTTTTAAAGGAATAGGGCTGTACTTTTTTTAAAAAAATAATTATTATTGTTGTGATTTGACATTGTGTTTGATTCAATTGCATTTTAACACTCTAATGTGGGTAAAGGTGGCACAGTGGCACACTTAACCAGCAATTTTCCATGACTTACCAAGCCTTCCTGCATCTCGGAAACCATTATAATCCAAATAATATCAGAGCCAAATACTTTGAAGGTTTGGTGATGTCGGGGGCTTAGCAGGATGTTGCGATTTGTTCATGTATTCGATGGTGTTCTCAATGACTTTGCGATTTGTGGGTTAGAGACAAATACAGTTGAGGATGCTGTAGCTTTTGGGAGAACAAACCGTAAATCATCTTCTTGCCTTGTGACAAGATTGCTGACCCAGTTACGTGAGATGGAAATGGCTTTTGATGGATTCTGGGAGAAGCATCAGCTGAAGATGGAGCAGTTCTTACAGCTGTGGAAATTTGAGCAGCATTTCCAAGAGGTAAGCGAAGATGGTCCTCCTTTGAGCCTTTTCCAAACTGCTGCTAATTTTTTCCAACAATTGAGAAGAACTTTCTGTAAGAATTGACCACCCACAGAAAAGCCTTCAGTCTTAATAATTGTCCTTCCTTCCTTCCTTCCAGCTCAGTAAAGAGATGGAATTTTTGATGAACCAGCAGGGACAGCTTCCTGATACTGGAGATAACATCTCTCAGGTGAAACAGAGACTCTCCGATTTGGAAAATCTGAGCAAAACAGCACAGGTAAGGAGATGTGCCAAGAGCACAACTATACGTAACAGGCTGAGCATGCGGCCACACTGTTGAAATAAAGCAAGGACTAGATTGTGGTTTTTGAAGTCAGTTTAAAGTCACATGGGCAAAACAGCACAGGTAAGGAGATGCGCCAAGAGCACAACTATACGTAACAGGATGAGCATGCGGCCACACTGTTGAAATGAAGCAAGGACTAGATTGTGGTTTCTGAAGTCAGTTTAAAGTCACATGGTTTTTGTGTTGGGGTGTGCACCCTCTTCAGAAAGGGTTTTTATTCCAGTTGTAAGCTATGTTGTATATCGATCACCAGCGCTAAATGTGCTTTAAAATTGTTGAATTTTTAAGCTCCTTGTTGCTCCAGCTTCCAGTTCTTTGGGGTCCTTTATCATTCCAAAAATTCATTTTCTTCTTCTGTGGGTTTTGTGTGTGTGTGTGTCCTTTTGTAAAGAATTGTTTGCTGCTGTTATAAATGGCCTTTTTGTTGATTTTACTTATTTTTTTATGTTTTTATGCATGTGTATATTTCAAAGTGGCATAGTGCTGGATCAGTGTTACAGATAGAAAAAAAAATATTTATAGCCGGTTCCCTGTAGCTGAAAACATGTGATCCTGACATTCAATACTTCTCAAACTCCACAGACACAATTTACTGTGACATAAGTGAGCACACATGCCAAAACAATTTTTAAAAAACTGGGAACAGAATAGATTCAAAATAAACATCACTCTCATGGTTGATTTTAAAAAATCTTTCCGATCGCAAAAATTGCGCTGTTAGCTGTACGTTATTTAGGTGGATATTTTTAATTGATTTCTAGCATGCTAAACCTGATGCAAAACTAGGAGTTTCATAGCATGTAGCTGAGCCATGAGTGTAACTGAAATCAGATTTAGCTGAGACTAAGATTGTTTTTTTTCTCCCTACAAAACACAGACCTCCCTCTGAAGGAGACTCAAACTAGCAAAACAAAATGTCTTACAACCTCAGTGTGTTGTAGCTTCATGTAGCCATGTGGCAGATTTTTTAAAGGTTTATAATCCTCTTACACATATGTAAAATATGTTCCCTGTGGACCAAAGGTCATGTTATTAGCTGATTTGGGGTTCAATTCCTGCTCAAGTTTCTTTGCCATTTTTGCAACAAAAGAAAAAGATAACAGCAGAGTTTTCATCAGAGGTGGCTTGTAAGAGGGGCAGGGGGGCCCAACTATAACTCCAAAGCCACTGCTCCTCATTCAACCCAAATCGGGAGGGTCCAGAAGCCCCTGTATAGTTCCATAAAAAGCTCTAACAAAACATGAAAGGAGCAAAGACCTCTAGGAGCAGCCGTTTTCCTAGGTTTTTCTTCTTCTTTTCCCTCTTTTCCCTTTTTAAAACAACATTTTCAGTTGTTTTGATTTCATTTCATTGTGTTTTTTAGAAAAAGGATGGAGATGATGCGGGAAGGTACAGACCAGTGGCTCCCAATCTTGGGTCCCCAGATGTTTTTGGTCTGCAACTCCCAGAGGCCTTTGCCAGCACAGCTAGCAGCGAAGGCTTCTGGGAGTTTTAGTCCAACAACATCTTGGGGATGAAAGTTTTGGAACTACTGTATAGAGCAGCACAGCTAGCAGCGAAGGCTTCCGGGAGTTTTAGTCCAACCACATCTAGGGATGAAAGTTTTGGAACTACTGTATAGAGGCGGTAGCTCAGTGATTTAGACCAGTGGTCCCCAACCTTGGGCCTTGTAGCTCAGTGATTTAGACTTCTGGCTGGGATTTCGATTTCCCACTGGGCCTCCTTGAGAAGGGCTGAACTCAATGATCCGTCAGGCCCCTTCCCCGTTCTATATTACAATAGAAGGCTGCCCACATTTAGACTTCTGGCTGGGAGTTCGATTTCCCACTGGCCTGAACTCAATGATCCGTCAGGCCCCTTCCCCGTTCTATATTACAATAGAAGGCTGCCCACCTTTAGCCTATAAAGGTAACTCTTTTTCTCCCTACTTTCCACCCCGTTTTGCTTTTAAATCAAAGGATTTAACTGGGAAAGCACAAGTAGTGATTCTCCATGGCCACCAGCTGGCTGCTAACCACCACTACGCCCTCAACCTGATCTGCCAGCAGTGCAACGAGCTGAGGCACCATTCGGACCTCTTGCTGGAGGAAATCAAAAGAAAATGCAACCGGCTTCAGAAAACCTTGCACCTCCTCACCTCCTTGCAGCAGGTAAATATCCAGAAAAGGCAGGGACCTCGTTCTTCCACACCCTCTGAGCTGAGGGTCCCCAACAGAGGGGTCAGGAAAGCTGGTGGCCATCAGCCGGCCACGATCCTGTGCTGTATGGCTCAGCTTAAGGATTCATGTCAGCCCGTATTGTGTTTTTTGGTCAGGCCCTAGAGTGCTGTGACGAAGGTGCGTATCTTCTCGCCAACCAACCAATGGATAAATGCCAGTCCCGGGAAGGCGCCCAAAAAGCACTGGAGGACATTGAGAAGTTCCTGGAGAACTCTTCACCGCATTTGAATGCTGATCCCCAAGCCCTGTACTCTGACTTTGAGTTCATTTTAACCCCTGAACTCAAGGTAGGTCGTTCGCTCGTTCGTTCATTCGTTCATTCGTTCATTCGTTTGTTCATTTTTTATACTTTTTAACTTCCTGTCTGACCAGAGGTCACACTGGGCGGTGTACAGAAGAGAACAACAAACAGAAACCAGTAATCGTAATATGCAAACTAATAAAATAAAATGAGCATCAATTAAATCAATAAATACATTTCAAATTTGTAGTTGTTAAAAACAGGCGGCAGCGATGGGTGTTAAGTATGTATACTCAGCGTGCGATGGCAGAGTTCGAAAAGCCTACTTGAGTAGGAAAGTAACAATTCTTAAAAGTTACCAGGGAAGGGGCCAGGTGGATTTTGGATGGCAGATATCCTTTGATTTGTATTCTTACACTGAGCAAGGGGCTGGTCTTGATGGCCTTACAGGCCCCTTCCAACTTCATGATTCTATGGATTCCATAATTGAGGGGGAACCATAGAAAAGCTCTGGTTTCTTGTTCTTTCTTTCTGAGCCTCTCTGGGGGTTGACACCCTCTGCCATCCCACCTGGGAAGTGTGGATAGGGTGGGCAGTTCCACTTGGAAGGAGGTGTTCCAGCCACATAGTGAGGTTCATGAAGGAGCTCAACTGATGATGGCCATGAGGTTGAGAACTCCATAAAAGCTTCTCTTGGTGTTAGAACATAAAGTCTGACTCCCACGCCACGTTTGCTAATCTAGATCAGTGGTTCTTAACCTTTGTTACTCGGATGTTTTTGAACTGCAACTCCCAGAAACCCCAGCCAGCACAGTTGATGGTGAAGGCTTCTGGGAGTTGCAGTCCAAAACTCCTGAGTAACCCAAGGTTAAGAACCAGTGATCTAGATCAGTGGTTCCCAACCTTGGGTCTCCAGGTGTTCTTGGACTAGAACTCCCAGAAGTCTTTGCTTCGTGTTCACCTTTTCTCCCTTACCTTTTGGGGGTCTGCAGGCCCGGATCCAGATGGTCCAGATGAAACTTGAGAACGTGCGCAGCATGTTCGAGAACAGGCAAGCCTGCTTCAAAAAGCTGGCCGACAAGCAAGTACGCCCAGTGCAGCTTGTAGCCCCACGTCCAGAAAACTCGCCTCGCTCAAGATCCCCGTTGTTCTCTCCCAAACATGGTAACGTACTTTTAAATAATGTTGTCTGGATATGTTTGTGAGTGAACCTTGGGGAAACGGGGAATGCACATTGATGTGTTGAGATATGGCTGGATAGAGACAGGCATGGGTTGGAGAGGGACACCAGCTGTGCTCAGCACCTATTGGCCACTGTCTGTGATGTAGTGGAGGCAAGTGACCTGGATTTAGTGGAAGCAGTGAATCTGTTCGGGGCTTTCCTTTGAGTTTTCAAAGAGCTCAAATGTGCTGAAACTATTTTGAGACTACAGCTCAGCAGCTTCAGACGAAAACCTGGAGCAGGTTAATCACCGCAGCCTCTGTTGCTGGGATGTCATCCTTGAGACATCTAATATTAATGCCAGTCCCCAGACTGATTTTACAAGTGTGTTTTGAAATCCTTTCCAGCTTCTTTTGAAGTAGTATGAGCTGATATATCTAGGTTTCCGGTGGCTTCCTTAACACACTGTTCTGTTTTGTGATCTGGATTATTTGTCATTTGTACCATGCCTTTGATCTGAGCTGTTTAAAAGGATGTGCAGCGGATCATAGTTGAATAAGCCCAGATATGAACAGAGCTTTTGTATATGCACAAACTCATTTTCCTTCCAACCAGCAGTTCAGCTGAATACACTTTGAGTAATTAAAATCATAACTTTGTGATTTTCATGTCAGAGTAAATTGTGTCTGTGGAATTTGACAAGTATGGATCCCAGGATCGCATGTTTTCAGCTACGGGGTACCTTGCAGTCCAAGCTGTTATATATATATTTTCTATCTGTAACACTGATCTAGCGCTATGCCACTTTGAAATACATACACATACAAAAATGTTAACGATAAGTAAAATTGTATTCTTGGGTCTATTCCAAAGTGGAAAATATAGATATCAGCTTTGGAACAAGCAAGGGTGTTAAAGGGTTCTGATTTGTTTTTACACCAGAGGCTGGATGCCTACCAATGGAAGTGCTCCCTAAGTAGGAAGGGGTGGGATGGACTAGATGACCTTCAATTGTCTTGGGAGATGGTGAGCACCCCAACACTGAACTCATTCAAGGGAAAATTTGACAACCCTCTGTCAGATCTGCTTTGAATTTGATTGCTGCTTTGAGCAGGGGGTTAGACTCCATGATGTTACTTTCCCCTTATCAATTTGTCATCTTCTGCACACAAAGGAGGTACTGTGGTGCTGAGTCCTACCCCCTCCTTACATACAGGGGCCTTGCAATATCTGCAAAAATCTCTCCCCAAACCCAACCCTCCTGTCATCAAGTTCCCAGTTGCTTGCTTCTTACTTGTAATGTTGTCCGACATCAGTAAGACGTTGTGGAAGTAGTAATTCTTAACCGTTTTATTTTTGTAACAACAGAGTTTCAAGATGAGGCCCCTTCTCTTCATGTCTGTTTGCATTCCTCTGCCTCCGTTTTTCTCCCTACATCTTTTGCCCATTGCTTCGTCAAAGGTGCTTCTTCTATATAACTGATATTCAACCATTATCTTGTTAACAAGGCAATTGTCAGTAACATTTAGATTCCCTTCCTTTTGGGCCAGAGCTATAACTTCTATCTATCTCCTTTCCTCGCCTGGCGAGGTTTTTCATTCCGTGGCTATTGAACAGGGTAAATGCCATTTGATATGGCCGGGTTGGTGGAATTACATGGTACCTTTAAAGGTCAAATCACAGATTAAGGGAAATGTATCTTCCTGCTGTTATGGCGTTTTCCCTCCTGGCACCCATTTCCTTCAGAGCTCCTTTCCCAAACAGTCAGACGTTGTTTACCAATTGCAAAATAAAAGCACACTGGTTTACAGCCAGTGTGAATGAGGAAAGCTTGTAAACCAATATTTTACCATAAAAGTGTGTTTAACGTAATCATTCTGTTTTTCTTTATGGGTAGAATTGGCTCAGGAGACCTGCGTTCAGATCCCCAGCTGAGCCATGGGAACTCACTGAGGACTGGTGGCATGGGTAAACCACTCCTCGAGCATCTCATATACCTCAAAAGCCCTATTAGGGAAGCAGTTTGACAGCTCATAACAACAAACACTAGAAATGTCTAGCTAGACCAGGTGTCCTATGACATAACCTAATGTAATGAAATTCAAACTTTGAATACTGATCATTTCATTTACAGATATGCTTCATGGAAAATATATTTTTTGTTTCCTAAACAATTCTCATTTTTTACTCAGATTCTTTACTTACATTAGCTGTGTGCCTTTGCAGGAAGTACTTTTATTAATTTTTATGTTATTTTTGCTCAGATCTTCTGCTGTAGTGGATAGTTTTCCTCATAACATTTTTCTTTCTGTCTTTCAATATTTTGGCTGTCAAATGGCCACGGCTGTATACCTGACCTAACTGACTGAACTAACGGAATATACACATTTTTTCCTAAGTGGTTAAGAGTAAACTAAATATATTTCAATTTTATTTATTTATTTTTTAAAAAAATCCTTGTATTCCTACAGAATATAACCTTGCTATTTCTCTCACCTCTCCCTGCTGTCTCTTCCTTTTTTATGTCCAAGGTGTAGATTTTAATTCCAGTTTGAGATTTTCATTTGATATATCCCTGCCGGGGAAGAAAACTTCCAGGAAATCTCAAAGTTCCCGCAAGGTAAGTATCTAGTTAAACATGATTAGCTATGAATGGGGTCTCCAACAATTCTTCTTGTAGCATGGAGTCATAAAATCATAGAGTCTAACGCTTAACGACACTTTAGTGCTGTTGGAGCAAACCTGGGTGAGCCTCAGATTCAGAAAATCGCCCTTACACATCTCTTCCTCTGGTGCAGCTGCGAGGAACTGACAGAAGAACACACTCGCTGCCTTAGACCACTGGTTCTTAACCTTGGACTTACACATCTCTTCCTCTGGTGCAGCTACGAGGAACCGACAGAAGGACACACTCGCTGGCTTAGACCACAGTTTGTTGTTAGGTGCAATTTGAGAACTGTGGTTTGACTAAACTATGGCTTAGGCTTGTGGCTGGAATCATAAACCATGCTTTGATCGTGATAACTTTCAATAAACCTGAGTGCAAACTGATCATAACTTAGTCTGGTTAGGATGCTGTTTGAAACAGGAAATCGTCATCTTTGGCGTGTATTAAAGGAGTAGGTGGAAAATAAGGGTAGCCCAAGATGTTTTGCTTCCTGAGGCCGAGAAGAAGAGAGCCACTCTGTGGAGAGAATGGTCCAGGCGGACGGTTGAAGTGTGCTTTGTCACTGACGAGGATTTAGCATCTTTCATCCCACGGAACGGCAGCCAGCTAACGGAGAGAGGGCACACCAGGGAGCGTTTGCCTCGGAGACCTTGTGCCCCCTTCCCAATATCTTCTGCCTGAGGCAGCTGCCTCACTTTACCTCTCGGTAAAGCCAGAGTTAGAAAGGGCAGGGGGTGGGATGCCCGAGGCCAGCGCAGGCGTTTTCACGGAGGGCTCAACCCCGGTTTACTGTTGCTTCTGATCATCATTCCTTGTGTCTTCAGTTCATTTTCTTCCTCTCCCTTTGGGATCAAGCTTCTCTCATATTTTAGACTACAAGCCCCTTGGCCAATAAGGTAGACTTAGGCCCCTGCTGTCCAGTTATACCTGCGTTCGGGAATCCAGGTCCCTCTTGGCAGTCAACTGCCAGTTGTTCGGAAGGTGTGGGTGTCATTCAAGAATGTGACCAGGCCTTGTTTTCAACCAACCATTTGCCCACAAGACTCATGTCGTTTCCCCTCTTATGCCTTGTGCTGTCAAGTCAAACTGACTTACGACGACCCTAACAAGGCTTTTGCAGTGAGTGAGATATTTCAGGAGTGGTTTTACCCATTCCACTCCCCCAGTGAGCTTCCTTGGCTGAGCAGGGGATTCGAACTCAAGTCTCCAGAGTCCTAGCCCAACGCTCTACCTACTGCACTGCACCAGGTGCCTTGATTTCCCTTCATGCAAGTGTAAATTGAAGGCAGGATCCTGCCCGTTGCCTTCCCTGCCGCCGAGTCCCGTGTATACTGATTGGCGTAGGACAAATAGCATGCATGTTAAGTTTCCTTGAGCCTTGCCTTCTGTTCTGCCTCCTCTTTCTAACACATTTTGGGTCTTTTCCCCCTCCCTCCAGATTGAAGTCATGCACGATTTCCAAGAGAAAAGGAATTCCTTGCAGTTTTGCATTTCGGAAAGCGAGGACAGTTTAGACATAGTGAAGAGGTACGCTTGGGGTTGGGCGGCCTTTCTCTTCCTCGGGCGGCCTTGTGCAGAGAGTAGAAGCAAATCCTGGGGGTGGGGTGCATTGGGTCGGGGGAGATCCGGAGGCTGGCTTCTCGGGTATTCTAAACATTTGAAAGGAAGGCACTGAAAGCATACCTTCCTTTTGCTCCAGACCGTTGGAGAAAGTCCTTCATGCCGAGGGATGCGGAGAGGTTTAGAAAGAAGGGCTCCCTCGCAAACACCGCGCCAGGCGGGTTCTGTGGTTTTCTTGCAAAGATCCCCAACATTCCTAAATGTTCCTTGCTTCATTCTCTTTTCGGTTTCAGCCATGTAATAAATGAACTGATAGAAACGGAGAGGGTCTACGTGGAGGAGTTGTTCACCATTTTGATGGTGAGTGTGGGCCTTCCTTCCTTAGTCTGTATCCTTTATTTAAAGAAATTAACAATAAATTTTAGAACAGCCGAGCCCCTGTCAAGGAGGCACTGTGGGGGAATCAAACTCCCGACCTCTGGTTCTGTAGCCAGAGGCCCAAACTACTGAGCTATCCAGCAACTCTTATGTATCTAAGGTGTCCACTTATCATATCTACCACACATACATTTTCTGACATTTCTTTTCCACCTTTCCTCCATTGGCCTTATGACAAGGCTGGTGACTGACCCCTTCCTTACGTTATCCTCATGTGAGGTATGTCAAGTTGAGAGATGAACGACCAGCCCAAGATCTCCCGTTGAGTATAAGAACTCTGGAGAGGAGAGCCCAGTTTTCTCAAACTTCAGCGCAGCCCTCTAACCATTGTGCACCACTGTATTTCTTTTCTATCTGGATACATCATGCAATGGAGAATGCAGTAGAATCCCTGGATCCATGGAAGATGGGTTCCAAGCCCCACTGTAGATGCGGAAAAATGCAGATTATAGAGAACTCTGGCAAATGCTATATATAATATGCTCTCTGACTGCCTCCAGTGGACAGTTCTAGTAACTTTGTGGTTAGAAATATCTTTTAATATTTTAAATATTTTCAGAATGTGCATAAGTGAATCAGCAGATCCTGATCCTGCAGATAAGGGGGTCCTTTGTTTTTGTTTAGTTGTTAAATTGTGTCCAACTCCCCATGGGCCAGAGCATGCCAGGCCCTCCTGTCTTCCACTGCCTCCCAGAGCTGGGTCAGATTCATGTTGGTCACTTCGATGATCCTGTCCAGCCATCTCATCCTCTGTCGTCCCCTTCTCCTCCTGCCTTCACACTTTCCCAACATCAGGGTCTTTTTCCAGGGAGTCTTCTCTTCTCATGAGATGGCCGAAGTATTGGAGCCTCAGCTTCAGCATCTGAAGGGGGTCCTACTGTAATAATAAATAGTACTATGCTGTCTAGTAAATTCTAACTTATGGTGACTCTTTCCAGGGTATTCAGAATACTCAAATGTGGTTTCCCATTCCCTTCTGGGGCTTCCCTGGGACCACTAGGCAGCTGACCCAAAGCTATACAGGCTGGCTCTTCTCCGTGGAAGCCCAGTGAAGAATCAAACTCCCAACCTCTGGCGCTGTGCCAGATGCTCAGATTACAGAACTATCCAGCTAGTTACGGATAAGCTAGATGTACGTTGGTGGGTGGAACTCACCTTCACAGAGTCTGCAAAGAGAAATAGACAAGTTCATGGAGGAAAAAACTATCAACAGTGATTGGTCAGGATGCCTAGGCAAAACCTGCTGATCCAGGGCAGATCTTCCTCTGTTCTTGGATGATTTCCCCAGCAGATGTTCACATAACCCACTGAGTTGTTTTGAATTGTGAGTTGAGTCTGAGATACTGGCAGGAAGGGAACAAGTTGAGTCACCGACGCACCTTGACTCTGACTTGACCGGGTGTCCTGTGGCTTGAGTCCTCATCTCTGCTGTTTAGCCCCCCTCATTCTCCTTTGTCACTTCCTTCATGGAGAGAGCAAGGTGGTAGAAGAGTTCCTGCTTGCCTGGTGGGCTCTCTGTGAAAGCAGGAACTCTGGTTTTGTAGCATGCAGGACTCAAAATTCCTTCTCTGCATCAATTTCCATGTGGAGGAAACAACAACGCAAGAGGAAACAAGCTAGGGGGAGTGCAGGACTCAAAACTTCTCTGCATCAATTTCCATGTGGAGGAAACGACAACGCAAGAGGAAACAAGCTAGGGGGAGACCCAGGTAATCAATGCCTGGATTGTGTGTGTGTGTGCACACCCTGTTGCAGTACTTCTTTGGACTAGACATTCCAAAGTTCTCAAGATGATATGGTTGCCATGCAGTCTTGTCGCATTTCAACCCTTCTGCTAGGTGGGTAGCATGGGGGTGGGGCGGGAGAGTCTCTTTCGGAAGTAACCTTCAAATGCTCAGTGTGTTGATTTTGCTGGCAGGGTTACAGAGCTGAGATGGACAACCCCACCATGGCCTTTCTCCTGCCGCCTCCCCTTCAGAACCGCAAAGATGTCCTCTTTGGGAACATGCCTGAGATCTACGATTTCCATAACAGGTGAGGCGCCATCATCTCCGTTCTGAAACGGGAGTCTTTGATTCCCAGCTGTTCACCTTGAAAGGAAGCCCTAGCAGGAAATGTAACACATGATTCTTCTTTCACGTCCACCCCCCTTCTTCCTGCTTTCCAGGATTTTCCTCCATCATCTGGAGAGCTGCTTTGAAGCACCTGAAAGAGTTGGATGCTGTTTCTTGGAAAGGGTTAGTTGGCTTGGGGCTTGAGCTATGGGAATACTGGAGAACGTTGGACTTTGGAGTGGCCTCCTTACCAACCTGGCAGAAGTTGCAATGGGTGAGAAGGGGCCTGTGTGGGAGAAAAGGTTCAGTACCACGGAGAGCTCCTTTAAAGTTTGGATTTAAACCCATAGAACATTCACTACCTTTGAAACCAGAGTCACCAGCGTCCACTGGTCAGAAAATGCAACAGTTAGGCTGATGGACTGGCCACTGTTTCCTCGACCCTGGCAAATGCCTATCTATGCTTTCTTAGTTCTTAGGCCTCAAGGTGTGGTCACTGTCTTGATTGCTTCAGATTCGTTGGGTGAAGTACAAGAAACTAAAAGATCCAATTAAAGAACAGTGAGCTAATTTTAGAACCTTCTAAAACTGATATATTTAGAATCTGGGGCTCATATATGCTTGTTATTGTACACTTGCAGAGGGAAGATTTCCAGATGTATGAAAAATACTGTCAGAATAAACCCCAGTCGGAATCTCTCTGGAGGCAATGTGCTAAAAGTGCCTTTTTCCAGGTATTTTCTTATTGCAATGCTAATGTGTAAAGCACTCTTCGCGTGTTTATGGGTCGCGCATTTGCCAGCAATGTGGGTTGTATGCCAGGGGTGTAATGAATGTTCACACATTGCCTCATTCTCAGTGAAAAAGGAGGTCTCAACACACTGGAAGCAAGCAAATCCTCCAGCATTTTTTGTTCACAGAGAGGAGGAGAAACAGCGATACATTTTCCCCACCATGATATCAGCATTTGCAAAAGTATGAGATTTTCTGTCCAAAATGTGGGGGAGGGATGTTTGCCCACCCCCAAAAAAACCCCACTTCAGTGAATTCTCTTTTGCAAAATGTGAAAAGCATTACAAACTCTTGTAAGTTTAGGGAGGAAAATGACAAATTTCTCATCTTCAAGAAGGAAGTGAGTTGGCAGGAATGTTGTTCCCAAATAGAGACGGGCCCGAAATGAACCACGAAGCAAAAAACCCAGCAAACTGGTCTTGTTCGTAGTTCGTTTCACGACTCAGTTCGGGGAACCCCTTTTTGCTAAAGCAAAATGGACGTTCTTCTCTTTGGTGTTTCATTTCCTTCAGCAAAAGGTTTGTGGTTAGCCTCGGACTGTCACGAACCATCACGAACCACCAATTTTTCAGTTCGTGCCCATCTCTGTTTCCAAAACATTAGCAGCAGGTTCTGAGTTGTCACAGTAGGGGGTGGGCTAGATGACCTTTGTGCTCCCTTGCATCTCAGATCATTCTATGACTCCCACACAGTTTGGTCACATTAACATGTGGTACTTTTCGTTGTGTGCCTTTTTCATGTGCCCCCCCCCCCGCTGATCTTCGGATGCATTTCGTCTCAGGTGGATGCAGGCGGCCTTTGAAAAAAAGATGAGAAGTAGAAGTAGAAACGACAGGTGTGTGGATTTGTGCTTTTGGACTATAACTCCCAAATTCCTTTTTTTTCCCCTAGGGAACTCTGGGAGCTGCAGTCCAAATGCAAATTCACACATCTCTAACAGAAATATTAATAAAATACATATAAATGTCTTGGAATAGATGGAATAATGATGCTTTGTCCCCTCCAGCCCATAATAATTTCTACCTGCCTTGGCTGGACCTGGTTTCCCCTGGAGGGGTTGATCTTCACCTCCCATCATCCACAGGTGGGGAGTTCAATTCCCCACCATGCCTCTTTGATAAGGGTTGGACTCGGTGGTCTACAGGGTTCATTCCAGCTCTGCAGTTCAAAGATGATGATGATGAGCCAGTCCCCCAGATAATGGGGGCTTGTCATCCAGTATCTTCTGAGTGAAGCCGGCTTGAGAAGGTTCTTCTCCAGCAGAAAGTGGGAAGTTCCTTTTCTGGGCCAGCCACGATGAGTGCCCATCCAACTGTAGGTAACCCTTTCTCTTTCTGTTGTTGCAGGAATGCCAAAGAAAACTGGAGCACAAGCTTGGCTTGGATTCTTACCTGCTTAAGCCAGTGCAGCGATTGACCAAATACCAGTTACTTCTGAAGGTATCCACCATCTTTTTCCTAACGGTGGAAAATGGATCCGCCGTGTTGCTTTTTTTTGCAATTCCTCTCCCTCCTTGATCAGGCCTGTTATTCTTCCAAGGACCTCTAGGTGGCAGGACTGGCTTTGCTTCTTCCTTCTATCACAGCTGTCCTGGGAGGTCAGCTGTCCTGGGAGTCAGATGAACTGGCCCAGCGTCACCCAACAAGCTTGAAGGGTCGGTGGAGGCTGGACCCCAGATCTCCTGAGCCTTAAGCCAGCACTCTTGACACTGCTCTATGGAACTGTTTGCCCCAAAATGCAAGCAGATGGGCTGCATCTTCAGACAGTGCTCCGAAGAGCACAATCCAGGGGTGTGACAAACTAGCACGCCCTTGGTTTTGCAGTTTGGCAGAAAGAAGACTGAAATGTCTATGAAAATCTCAGAGAGCAAAAGAAAGCTTGAAAAAGATTTGACATCCATAAAGGAATCAGGCATCTTTCCTCTTTGATCCCCTTCCCAATAAGAGCCAATTTTTCTCCCCTCTTTCTCTCTCTCTTTCTGTCAGACTCACACAAACAAAATGGCCACTGTAGACTCTATGTAGAGGACGTGAGTGAATAGGATCAGAAATAAGATCTCATCAGAACTGGATAGGAGAGCCAAAGATAAGAGCTTCACAAGTAGAATCAGAACTGCCTTATAAAGTAAAAGACATTTAATTATCTATCGAGTGGGTGTATAACCTGGATGTGTGAAACCCAATTTTCATCAAAGTGTGAGGGATTGTAGAATAAAGTCAGGGGGAGGTTCTCTAAATTTGATGGCTCTAGGTGCTGGGGGGAGCATTTAATAGGATTTTCAGGTCAAAAGCAAATTGACAAGTCAATTTGTCAGAAAAAAAATCATAAATTCTTGTGGTTCGTCAACCTTGACAAATCACAAATCAAAATGAATCACTAATTTTTTAAAATTTATACCCACCTCTCTAGTGGCTTCCCATGACCCTCGGGGAGAAGCTGAACTGAATTGAATTTCTTGATTGTGGATGAGGATAAGTTAACCTAAGAATCTCTTTCATTTCAGGAACTGCTGAAATACAGTACAAGTTGTGAGGGAGTTCAGGAGCTCCGAGAAGCTTTGGTAGCCATGCTGGATTTGCTGAAGTCGGTCAACGATTCCATGCATCAGATTTCAATCACAGGTTATGATGTAAGTACTGTGGTGCCTCGCTAGACAATGATAATCTGTTCCACTGAAATCGCTGCTTAGCGAAATCATTGTCTAGCGAAAAGCATTTCCCCATTGGAATGCATTGAAACCTGTTTAATGCATTCCAATGGGGAAGAATCGTCGTTGTCTAGCGAAGATCGCGCATAGGAAAGCCGCTTTGCGAACTGCCGATCAGCTGTTTAAATAGGTGTCTTGCGAAGCTTAGGTCCCAAGAACACCCGTTTTGTGAGCACGGAGGGAGCTGTCGAAATCGTTGTCTAGCAAAAATCGGTTTGCGAAGCAGGGACCAAACATCGTCCAGCGAAATTCCCCCATAGGAATCACTGTTTTGCAAATCGCTATAACGATTGCAAAAAGTCAATGTCTAGCAAAAAAACTGTCATGCGGGGTAACTGTCTAGCGAGGCACCACTGTATTTTTCTTTTGGAAGAGGGAAGCGGCTGTAGTAAGGGTTCCCTGGTAGAAACGGGATTATAAAATGGAATTTGACCCAACTCCAGGAGGCCGTGGAGGACAGGAGGGCCTGGCATGCTCTGGTCCATGGTATCATGAAGAGTCAGACATGACTAAACAACAATTGTGTTTATAAATGCTGAAAATGAATTTTAAAATATTCCTTCCGTTTCCCCTCCCCTCTTGTTCTTGTTTCCTTTTGCCAGGGAGACCTCAGTGAACTGGGCAAAGTGCTGATGCAGGGATCTTTCAGTGTCTGGACAGGCCACCGGAAAGGACCCACCAAGATGAAGGACCTTGCCCGGTTCAAGCCCATGCAGAGGCACCTCTTCCTGTACGAGAAAGCCCTGGTGTTCTGCAAGAAGAGAGAAGACCACGGCGACAGCTATGACAAAACCTCATCCTACAGCTTCAAGCACTTTTTGAAAGTAAGGGAGGCCTCTCTCTCTCTCTCTCTCTCTCACACACACACACACACACACACAGAGAGAGAGAGAGAGAGAGAGAGAAATCTGCATTTCCTTTGCTCTCATGTATTGGTGCTCACAAGAGCAGCGTTCCTGGGGATTCATAGGAGCCAGAAAAGGAAAGTGTTTTTCCTTGGAACTGCTGGTCTTGGGAGAAAGGGGTTAAAATTCTTGTCTTCATGGTCGCTGTTTGCCATATGAGAGGAAGAAAAGGGTTTTTTAAAAAATGAAATCATGGACTTCGGCAAACAAGGGGAGGCCTTGGTTTCATGGAATGATAGAATCGTAGAATCATGCTAGATATTGTGAGGTCTCTGGCTGATACTGGTAACTATGCCTTGGAAATACATATAAATAGGTGTTTCTGGGGAGGTTTATTTAGAACTTTTGGTCAGCGAATAAGTGAATCGGCAGCTCCTGATCCTTTGGATACAGGGGTCCTATTGTATTTAAAACAAATGTATTTTATTTTTATCTCTAATTAATTTATTTATTCCTCTTTATTCTGCCTACCTGCTCCCCACGCAAGTGTCAATTATTTTCTTTAGCGGTTCATTGCAATTTGACAAGCTGCTCTTTTTGGAAGAAAGAACACCAGCTTTGCTGAAATCCAAGGATCAGTTGATGGCTTTCTTTTTTTACAGGGGGTTTGATCAGAGGCAGCCAGCTGATAATGTTCTGTTTTTGTCTGGATGGTGGGAGGGGTCTCATTTTTTTCTTTTTTTTTCCTTTTTTCTTTAAAATGTTGTTTTGCAAAAACAAAACTTGGCTGGCAAGGCCATTTAACCCTAGTTGATGAAAGCTATGCTCAAACAGAAATGAAAGAGAAAGGGAGGGAAGGGTTGAAAGGGACACCCTGTTTCCCTGGGTGTCCTTGTTTGTTTAATGTGTCTGACCACCTGATGCTGTTGTGTACACACACACACACACACACACAAACACTTGAGAGACAGAGGGAGAGAGAGAGAAAATAAGGATCGTTTTATTGTCTAAGAACAATAGGGATTGTCAACAGAAGTTCTATTTATAAATGGCTTCTTTATATACCCAGATCTTGTTTATCTGGGATTTATTTCCTCCATCCAGGAGCTGAAAAGCAAATGGTACTATTTTTAGGTGTAGTCTCTCAGCTACTCAAAGGATACTTGCAATGTGAGGCAGATAGACAGACGGTACCCCACCCTACGCGGTGTGTTGGTGTCCACACCTGGATTTTGGAGAGGGACATAGCCTGTCTCAAGGTACCATCCTGAACACTCAGTTCCTCGGAAAGGGTACCATGGGTGAGAGACAGCAGAGCAGTTCCTTTCTTAAGCCCAACCTAAAAAAGTATATGTGCCAGCCTTCAAGCTCTGAAGAAGTGTTCATCAGCCAGAGTGGCACCCAAAAGGCAGAGGATGATGGAGTCACATAGAAAGCTGCATCACTCTTAGGATTTCAATTGAAATGTTTGAGGAACCCATAGTATTTCCTCAACCCCCCAAGTAAGTGCTGTTTGGGTCTGTAGGAACGGAAATGTGTCGTGCAGCCACTCCCAACACTTCCATGAAAAGGTTGTGCGCCTACATTTTATAACACCGCACCCTGAGTTTTTCTTCCTGCTTTCAGATGAATGCCGTTGGAATCACAGAAAATGTGAAGGGAGACCATCGCAAGTTTGAAATCTGGTACAGCGGTCGTGAGGAGGTATACGTTGTACAGGTTGGCTTGCTGTTCAGTTGCCTACGATGTACAAAAGGGATCAGGCAATCCACTCACCAAGTTCATGCCGTTGTTCCCATACAAGAGCTGAGAATGAGACCAGGAAACCACCTTTCCCTCAAAATCTTTGTAATTCACACAGAATGTCTCTGTTGTCCCTTCTCTTTGATGACAAAAGACACTCACAGAGAAAGAGAGGGAGAGAGAGTACAGATTGGATGATTGTTAAGAAACATGCAAGCAACCCATTCAGTGCTTCACATTCTTAAATAAACAGTCATCCTAATTTGGGGTTATTGACACAATTTTGTGAATTCCACAGTGTTTTTGTTGTGTTTTGCAAAAGCTGTGCCATGTCCCCCTCCGCCCCCCAATTCATCTCATCACTTGATGTTTGAGTCTCTTAATTTTTTATAGTGGAGACCCTCTTCTCCTGATTCAGAAGGAGCAACCTAACTTTAGACTGTTTTCCTCCCTTGTCAGGCTCAAACCGTTGATCTGAAGATGGCGTGGTTGAATGAAATCAGAAAAATTTTGTTCAAACAGCAGGAACTTATTAAAGGTAGGTTGAGAGGTACCAGACGTGGCTTCCAAGGAGAGCATCTCGGTATCGATAAGAGAGCTGGCTTGTTGTCTTTCCCGAAGGAAAATCAGGTTGTTTTTGAAGGAATGGCCCTGTTGATGAGAAGGAAGACTCTGTCGGCCTGAGGTTTTTAAGGGCTGAAAATGTACCTCTTTGTCACTCCTCCTTGACATGGCTTTGCAACATTGAAAAGCATGGAGGGAAATTAATAGAAGCTCTGCTTTCAAAACATGTCAGTGATTCAGAAGATAGGAAACCCATGTCCTTTTGTCTCATAATCACAGTTGAGAAGCAGTCGGCGCCTTCAAGCACAGACCAGATCCAACTTTCTCCCCCGTTGAATGATGGGTAAGTCAGCAGAAACCAATTAGGATGGCTAATTCTTCACTACGGCCACCTGGTTTAAGTACTGTGATGTATTAAAATCAATTAAATTGTAAATTGGATTGGAGGTTTATTCTTAGAAAAGAGTTGTTTAATTCAGTTGATTTCTCTAAGTGAAAGTGTATGACTTCAGTTTCCATTTTTTCTATTAACTTTCCTCACAATTCATTTAGCGTCAGAATTAAATTAGGGTTGGCTACTATGTCATAAGAAGCTGGCTAGATCGCTTAGTGGTTTAGTTCTCTGGCTGCAGAGCCACCAGAGACCTGAACCACTGAGATGTCCAGCAGTCGTACAGTATTCTGATTTAACAGCTAACACTCATTTAATTCTGATGCTAAATTATTGGGGAATTCAATTTCCCACAGTATCTCTTGGGAGAAGAGCCAGCCTGTGTAGCCTTGGGCAAGCTGCACAGTCCCAGAGTGCCCCTAGAGGAAGGGAATGGTAATACATTTCTGAATACAGTGGTGCCTCGCATTACGATGTTAATTTGTTCCAGTGAAATCACTGTAGAATGGAAACATCATAAAGTGAAATAAAAAAGCCCATCGAAACGCATTAAAACCCGATTAATGCATTCCTATGGACTTGAAACTCATCGTCCAGCAAAGATCCTCCATAGTGCGGCCATTTTTGCTGCCCGTGTACCAAGGAATCCGTCCCAGAAAAGAGAGGGGGGCCATTTTTTTTACCCGGTGGCCATTTTGAAACCGCCGATCAGCTGGCCGAAAATCGTCATTTTGCAAGAATCGGTTCCCGAAGCAGGGAACCGATCATCTCAAAGCGAAATTCCCCCATTGGAAATTTCGTTGCAATGCAATTTTGTTGTTAAATGGGGCGCTCGTCTTGCGAGGCACCACTGTACTTAGAAAACCCTAGAAAGGGCCACTGTAAGTCAGAACTGATTTGGCAGCACATAATAATTATTAAATGAAGAGTCAATGAATGAATCAATTTATGGTCGTTAAATGTATACTCATTCAACAAAATTCACAAAGAACACTCAGAGACCCACACAACACACACACAACACACACACCACCCCACACACCACCCCACACACCACCCTACACACCCCCACTACCTTCATAACTGATATTATTGCTAAATCATATATTTATAGGGTTGTAGTGGAAATATCAGATTAAATCCCAAGAGAGGCATGTTCTGCTCACCTCAGGTCATGGAACTCATCAAGTCAGTTGGGTTTGTGGTTTCTCTGTCAGCCTGACCTTTGTCACAGCGTGGGTTTTATGATAAAGTGGAGAGAAGGCTGCGTATATTGAGGGGGATGATGTTGTGTAAATATTAAAGAACTAGTAGTGAAAAAAAACACGGTCAAAATTCCAATTAAGCAACACATCTCTAGATGCATTTTTAAAGCTCTTGGTTTGATTTAGGCATTCACCAACAGAATTAAAAGGATAGTTTTATTTTGTTCTGTTTTGTTTTTAACTTCCTTCTAGGAAGGCGTTTGATCCTGTAACATGAAGTGATGTGGAAATTTTAAATTAATGAAATACTTGAAATAGTTTAACCTTTCAAGAGAAATACAGTAATCGAATTAGATTTCCCAGCTTATAAGTGATTGGCCTCCCCTATTAATCATTTCACATTAACTCTCTCATTAAATGTGGCGGTACTAAATACCAGTGTTTGCCAACCTTGGGTGACCCAGATGGTCTTGGACTGCAACTCCCAGAAGCCTTCAGCAGTAGCTGTGCGGGCCGGGTGTTTCAGGGAGTTGCGGTCCAAGAACACTGGGTGACCCAAGGTTTAAACCACGGCTATAGACTATGCTGACCATCTGTGCCTTAAGGTTTAAACCATGGCTATAGACTATGCTGACCATCTGTGCCTGTTAAGTCAATGAAATGAACGTTGAGATTGCAGCCGTGAGCTTGTTCATGACTTGAAAGGTCTCCTTCCCTTTGATTCTCTGGATTAATATTTTGTATGTGTGTTTCCAGGAAAAAACCCCGAGCCTCCGTCAGTTCAGAGGAAAATGATTCTGACCGCACCAGCCCTATAACTGTGGAGAGTGGCACTTCTCCACCCCAGCACAAGCCGAACAGGTGTACGTCCGTCAACTTCCACCTCTTCTTTCGCTTATCTGTGCAGTTTTTGTGGGTTTTCCTCTCCTCCTGGGTCCTCTGGGGCCACTCACTGTTTCTGGCTGGATCGGGCTCTATCCTCGGGAAGTGGTGGAGAGCGAGGATGGGCCTCAGACCCCCAACTCACACCCTGCTTCTGATGGGCACTGGTATTCGGCATGGTCAATGGAGTGGAAGGGTCAATGAGCACTCATGGGTTTGGAGTGGGAGAGGAAAGTGGACATTAGTAGACACACACACACCAAGTGGCAGGCTAGTATAAAAGTGGACATTAGTAGATACACACACACACACCAAGTGGCAGGCTAGTATCAGCACACCTGTGAAGGTTCTCTGCCTTTGCCTTGGTCAGTTGGACCTGACGGTGGAATGCGCTGCAGGACACCTTCTCTCCATGAAAGCCACCATCTTTTCTTGGAGAGCAAAGAGGTAAAATTGAGCAATGGATGGCCGTATCATTTTGAAGGTTCATCTGCTTTTTGGCATGATGTGTTAGTAGGCCGTTTGATGGTGACTGTAATTATTTTGCCAGTGGAGGAGCATTCAAAGGTGAGAATGCCCTGTGCACTCCTAGTGTGGTTGCATCCGCAAGAAAAGGGAAGGATAAATCTGGAGAGACTAGGAGCTTGGGGTGAAATGAAGCTTTCGTTCCATGGGCTTCTGCATTTGCCTTATAGGTGAAAACAAAATAAAAAGTAAATGTTTATAAAGAGAGAGAGAGAGAGAGGTACCTTAAAGACTTTTTAAAAATTTTTTTAGCTTTCATGGACAAATCCACTTCATCAAACCTAAGCTCACATTAAAAAAAATTTAAACGTTCATCTTTACGGTGCCACCCCATTTTTGTCTTTTTAAAAAACTTTTTATTTTGTTTTCACCTCTAATGCTTGCACAAACCAACACACTGCCACTTCAACAGCTCCTGTGCTAGTTGACCATGCCACACTTTATATTGTCTTGATGGGGAAAAGGTTATGTGGAAATCCGGGCTTAAACGTTACAGTTCTAGACAGAGCTCAGAAAAATGGCATTTTGGGCTTAGGTGCCAGGTTTCCCCCTACCCCAGCCGGGTTAAGGAATTGTGGGATGTTTTGTCTAACAAAGATGTCTAAGATTTGCCTAAGTCCATCCAGGAGCAGTCTCTCCATTGGATCATCTTGATCCTAAATTGTCTAAGGCAGGGGTCTTCAACCTTGGGTCACCCAGGCATTCTTGGACTGCAACTCCCAGAAGCCTTCACTGCTAGCTGTGCTGGCCAGGATTTCTGGGAGTTGCAGTCCAAGAACATCTGGGCAGGAACCCTCGGTCTAAGGCTTAATAGCTAAGAGTCTTCATCTTGAATTCCACTTGGAAATGAACCATCAGCATCTAAAAGGGATAAATGACTAAAAGGCTATTTTTTTTTTTGGTAACTCCTGACCTTCAGTTGCCAACTGTCCTGTATCCGCTCTTCCCTGCAGCCTGGCCGGGCATGTCCCATTCCTTGGAAATCTGTGAAGGGCTTGATGGCTGGTCTGGCCAGAGCTACTTCTTGACGTGCTCCGACACGGAAGAGGAAGATGGGAATCAACTGGTTAGTGGGAGTGATTTATATAGCCATGGCAGAAGGAGGAACAGCCAGAATTCCAAGGAAATTCTTTGCTCCTGAGATGGTGTGGTTGAGACACTATCGGTTGGCCTTGTGGAGCGAAGTCTTAGTTTTAAAGAAGGGGCTGGCAGCATATGGCCCTGCGGCGCGCATACGCCTTCCACCTACCTGTTCCAGTATCCCCTGCAAAGCTCAATGAGTTAGGTATAGGACTGTGGAAACAGAGGTTGGGAGCTCACTTACCTACTGTGTGCCCAGGAGAACAGCCAGCCTGTGTAGCCTTGGTCAAGTGGTACAGCCCCATAGAAAGGAAGAGTAAACCACTTCTGAGTACTCTCCACCTAGGAAACCCAAGTCGGACTTATCTGGCACAGGTCACAGGGTCCAAAAAGCTTATCTGCTCCTTGTTCTAAGGACTGGAGCGTCATGCTTTCCTGTGGAACTCATTGCCACAAGATCTGGTGATAGGCTCCATGCTGGGATGTGGGAAACTGGATGTGTTCGTAGAGAGAGGAGAGTGGTCTGTCAAGTATAGTAAAAGAATATGACCTAGTTCTGAAAGTGACCTTGGTGGGAGTGAAGAAAAGCGCTTTGATCCCATGCATCATTGAGAAAATACTGCCAGAGTCATTTAGAAATAAATACAATGAGACAGGCTTTGCCCCCGTGGTTGCAGTCTAAAGGACATAACACAAAAGGAAAAGGTACAAGCAGGGAGGAGGAAAACCTCAGCAATGTTAGGAAGATGTAGTTGATTACAGAGTTCTTTCTGGCAGGTGTGGAAAAGCAAGCTTTCCTTCTGGTTACCTAGCCAACCACTTTGGTCTCTCGCTTGCTGAGATGCTCCACCAGAGATTGGGACAGTGCTTTGTATTCTGAGTTGTAGGGTTGGCCTTCTGTAAAGCTCTCGTTGCCCTTGAAAGCCACTGGCTGCATTCCCTGTCTTTCTGCTTTGTCTGGCAGTCCCCAGGAAAGTACAAAGCCTTGGCCGACTGCGAGAAGGGAGATTCGGAAGACTTGCTGGTGAAGCACGGAGACATCATCGAACTACTGCATGAAAACGGAGAGGGACAATGGTAGGTCCTTCTCGGAACATCTGCTTTCCTCCAAGGGGTAAACAGCCTAGTGACCCAAGTTAGTCTAGGGCAATCTTTGGTGGGTTTTTTGGTCCAATGCATCAAGATAGAGCTTGCAATCTCCAGAAGCTCCTAGTCAGCAGAGTTCATGCCCAAGCTGATGGTGGGTTTCCGATAGAGGGAGTTTGAAAAGTACAGTGGTGCCTCACTTAACGACGATAATCCATTCCAGGAAAATCGCTGTTAAGCGAAAATGTCGTAAAGCGAAATTAAAAAGCCCATTGAAACGCATTGAAAACCCTTGGGCTAAAAACTCACCGTCCAGCGAAGATCCTCCATACGGCAGCCATTTTCGGTGCCTGTATAGTGAGGAATCCGTCCCTACAGCAGGGAGTCATTTTAAGCACCAGGGTGCCATTTTGAAAACCCGACGGTCAGCTGTTTTTGATTGTCGTAAAGCGAAAATTGGCTCCCAAAGCACGGAACCAATCATCGCTAAGCGAAATTCCCCCATTTAGACCATCGTTTTGCGATCGCAAAAACATCATCGTAAAGCGGATTCATTGTAATGCAGGGTAATCATTAAGCGGGGCACGACTGTACCTTTTCTAAGCTCTGAGTGGAGAGAAAGCAATCTTCATAGCTCATTTCACTCTTCCTTTTGTTCTTCCTTCCTTTTGTTCTTTCTTTCTTTTTTCCTTCCTTCCTTTTGTTCTTTCTTTCTTTGTTTTTTCTTTCTTTCTCTCTCTCTTTCTTTCTCTCTCTCTTTCTTTCTAGGCTAGTCAAAAACCTCAACCAGAGGAAAGAAGGCTGGTTAACCCTCAATAGTTTGCAGCTAATCCTGGGAGACGGCAGGTTTCGAAGTGGCAGAGTTGCAGGTATTCTCTGACCGCGAACACCTTCCCCATCAACTGTTTTGGATCTGGACTGATCAAGTATATGGAAGCATTTGCTTCTTTGCCGGCTTGCTTAAGAGAATTCCTGGCTTTTGCCGTTCTTTTTTGAATTCAGCTAAGAAAAGCATGGGATTGGAGGGGGGGCATAAATCTATAATCTGCTGCGAAAGGAAATTAGCAATATAGCGATGCACAATCTTTTACTTCCCCCATTTTGGTTTGCTCCTTGCGATTTTCATTTCTGTGAACAATGAACTGGCCAAGACTTGTATGGAATGCAGAAGACTTGAGATTTAAGTTAAGCAAGGGTGTAAAGCATTTGAGGATTCCTTACCATGAAGCAGATTTACAGTACCTGTAGGAGCCCATAATCTCTTTCACACACACAAATGAAAAGCTCATTTCTGGATCAGTAGGAGACCCTACCCATGGTCCCATAGCCTTGGTCAGAACCTGTACCTGTTATTCCTCTGCCATTCATGAGGGACAGAAGCATGCGTACCTTATTTAACATTAAGACAAATGCTTTAAGCCGACACCCTCCTTTCATGCTCCATTGTAGTCAAATGCAATTTCAATACAAATTTGTGGGTGTGACATCAGATACATGGTTGTTTGGACGAGCCAGGTCCAATCCTCTTTGCAATAATACGGCTTTGGATCATATTTCCAACTCAAACAGAAATGTTCTGCATGAAACCCCACCTTGCCTCCCTTTTATGCCAAAGATCACATGGTTGCTGGTTTGCCAAAGGTCTCCCCCCAAAAAAGTACGTCCAACGGCTTTGCCAACTGCAAAATAGTTGGTGACGAATATGGATGAAACTGCTGTCAGTTATGGCCCACCTTGAAGGCACTCAAGAAAATAGTTTCGCAAAAGCAAACTTTCTGCTGCATCTGTACCAAATTTGGTGTTGATCTTAAGTCCAGTTTCATAGTTACTTTTTTTTTATTTGGCTTGGGGCTCCTCTATTTTTTAAAAGTTGATTTACAGAATGCTGATTCCTGCTATCAGCATAATTTATTGATAGCCACCTGGGCAACAATAATGATATCTGTGTAACAAACCACCCCTAGGAGAATCCTCCTTTGAAAATCCTCTTGAACAGGTTCACATCATCAATCATAAGACCTATTACCAGCCTGTTTGCATTTCATTAAAAACAGCTTCACTTCTTAGAAAGGGATTGGACAAACATGGCATGCAAATGCATCTGGGTAGCTGTAAATGAAGTGGATTAATCTGTCTACTCATTTTTTTTGGGGGGGGGGATTTAACCAACATACACCAGGACGGCGCACTTTAATCTCCCAGAGTCACATTGTGTGAAGGCCTTCCAAACCTACAAGGTAGACCTCCCACCACACTGTCATCAAACGACGTGTGAACTGACCGTGTAGGTTGATGCTTGGACATTTCTTTTCTATCTTTCTATTGAGAGTTCACCCACCCACCTGAGCCAATGTATTATACTGGAGTTGCGGGAACATTCCGTGACATGTTTCAGGGAACCCCCAGTGCTGAGAAGCAGAAGTGATGTACAGTGGACCCTCTACTTACAGAATTAATTTGTATTGGAACGGTGGCTGTAGGTCGAAAAGTCTGTAGGTCGAGTCTCCATTGACCTACAATGTATTGAAAACCGATTAATCCCGTAACCAGCCGTTTTTGTTCCATTTTGGTTTTTTTCTGGTCTGTAGGTCGATTCTCCGGCTGCAAGTCGAACCTAAATTTTGCAGCCAGAGAAATCTGTAACTCGAAAAGTCTGTAAGTCGAGCCGTCTGTAAGTCGAGGGTCCACTGTAGTCCTCAAGCAGGTTCAGCACCCCGGAGAGCTCCTGTAAAACTTCCAGCTAAACCTAGAACAGCAAAGGAAAGTGATGCCTTTAGAGCCAATTCACCGCTGTTAGGAAATGGGAATCACCAATCTCCACCAGTTTCAAGAAATGCAGGACCACGTTCATTAAACTTTAGCCCTAACTACAGCCTTAAAACTCGAATGCTACTCATAGCTGTGAATACACCGGAATTCTCACAGATGAGGAATGGGGGCTTTGGGGTTAACTTCTGTTAACTTCTGTTTCCCAGGCACTCTTGTTACAACTGCCTGTGTTTGGAAGCAGTTGTGTTGACCCAGATATTTTGGAGTTGTTCTGAGGGTCCTGTAGGGCTTAACTCAGTTCAGCGCCGGAGATCCAAAGGAGGAAAACCAGAATGGAAGCACATTAGAGATTTGGGCTCTTACGGGTTTCTCTAAAGGGCCTGAAAACGAAAGAGGAAGCCCCATGAAAGAACCCAAAACAAAAACAGACCACCCATCCACATCCCTCCTTAGGACGGTCAGACGGTTCTTCCTCGATTCAAGTGTGTTTTGTAATCCTGGTGAACAGATATGAATCTTTTTTCTCTCTTTCTACCATGCCCCTGCGTCCTTCTTAAGTGTTTACAAGCTTTCACAGGCCAGGGAAATATTTAGCCAAAGGCCAATTAGAAAAATTGGCAAACTGTTCTCAATGCGCTGGTTTGCACATTTTCAATGCACTTTAGGAGTTTAGGTCACAAGCGTACGGATGGCCGCCTTAATTTACAACATGCCTGCAGAATGCCAAGTTGTGTGCTTTAAAAAAGTACAGTGGTGCCTTGTTTGACGACATTAATTATGCCTGCAGAATGCCATGTTGTCTGCTTTAAAAAGGTATAGTGGTACCTCGCTTGACGACGATAATTCATTCCAGCGAAATTGCTGTAGAATGAAAACATCATAAAGCGAAATGAAAAAGCCCATTGAAACGCATTGAAACCGCTCAATGCGTTCCAATGGGCTGAATAACTCACTGTCCAGTGAAGCTCCTCCATAGGGGCGGCCCTTTTCGCTGCCTGTAAAGCGAGGAATCCATCCAAAAACACAGCGGGGAGCCATTTTGAGCAGCCGGTGGCCATTTTGAAAACCTAACGATCAGCTGTTTTGATCGTCATAATGCGAAGAATCGGTTCCCAAAGCGGAACCGATCGTCACAAAGCGAAAAAAACACATTAAAACATCGTTTTGCGATCCCAATTGCAATTGTAAAAACATCGTTGTGAAGCGGATTCGTCGTTATACAGGGTAATCATTAAGCGGGGCACGACTGTATATTGTTACCTCTTAACACAGAAAGCAGCCTTTCTACCATGCTTCTTTTCACGAGTATCATGGGGCTGATAAAGACACAGATAATAATAGAGAAGTGATAAGCTAGCAATCCTGCCATGCTTCTTTTCACGGGTATCATGGGGCTGATAAAGACATAATAATAGAGAAGTGATAAGCTAGCAATGTAGGCCTCAGCTTCTAGGGTCCTTATTCACCTATGACCCTAATCCTATGTCTACATTTCTGAGTTTTTCCTTTAGCTGGCGGCTTGGTTGAGGCTGTCTGGAACTCCTGCTTGATCACAAAAGGCCTTTTATGCATAGCATATACACTCATTCTGACGTTAATGTCACTTTCCATTGCCTTTTAGATGCTGCCCTGTATAAGACAAGAAAATTAAGCTCCCCCTGAATTTGAAGGGAGAACTTGAGGTCATGTCACTTTTGAACACTCCAGTGGAGGTTTGAAATGGCTGCTGAAGAAAAAAAAAAGAGAGCAATTATGTCATTGCTGGGAAGACTGTGTACTACCCATCATCCATCAGCATCCACCGCCCATCACAGCTCCACCAACACCCACCGTGACCATCAACGGAAGCCATTCTTTCTTGGAGAAACATGGCACCATTTGTTTATCCCATGTGGGGTGGAATTGAACCCCTTCTCACCATCGTAGCATCTAGCAAACGTCATCCAAGAACTCCATCTGGTGGTCTCCACAACTTTCCTTAAGATGACCGGAGCTTTTTCTTACAGGTCCCTTCTTTTCCCCAACTACCCATCCAGGTTATTTTTTTCTGGAACAGGTGTGAACCTGGCCCAGCAGACCTCAGACTCAGGAAGACCATATTAGGGGATGAGTGACATATAGCATGGCAATAATCTTGAAGGGAAGCGGGGTCCCCTTTTGCTCTTGGACCCAGGGTTCTTGCAAGGATTTGGGTAGCTTTATTGTGTAACAACTCACCTGGGCTTCTTTGCCTCCCTAGAAGTGAGGTGTCCACGTTTACATTGTAATTTTAATTGGAGGACAGTTATGTGCCATAACTGAGTTCAGTGTTCACATTTGCACTATAAGCTTGTTTGCAACAAGACTGCACTCAGCATCTTCAGAGAGAACAACGTGATGCTGGAATGAGGGTAATGCATTCTCTTTTACCCTTTCCTTTCTTCCCCTTTTTTTCTGAAGCTTACAGAACTTTTTTTCTATTCTCCGTTTCTCCTCAATTTTTTTGTGCCAATGCGTAAATAAACAGGTGATAAGATATACACATCTAATCTCAGTAAAGATAGTGTTGAGGGTTGTGACTGTCCTGATTGTGATAGTAAAAACAAAGGGGCAAATTGAATGCCAAAAGAGAATCAATACAGGAGGACCTCCGTGTCTGTGGGGGATCGGTTCCAGGCCCCCTCGGAGATACTGAAAAATGGATTATAGTCAACACTATATATATCATGGTCTCTGGCTCCTTCTAGTGGCCAGTTCTGGTGACTTAATCTTTAGAAACATATACCATATTTTTCTGTGTATAAGACTATACTTTTGTCTAAAATCTTTAGACTAAAAATTGAGGGTCATCTTATACACGGAAGTAAGCTGAGAAGAGGACAAAAACAAGTGGAGGGGAAAGCAGGGATCAAAGTGATTCTGCAGCGCTTTTATCCCTTTCCTCCTACACTTGCTAAGCCCCACTTAGATTTCTTAATTTTGGATTAGAAAAGTGGGGGCGTCTTATACACAGAAAATACGGTATTTCTAAGAGTTTTCTTTTAGTATTTTTAATATTTTCAGACTGGATGAGTGAATCAGTGGATACTGATCCCGTGGATATGGGGGTCCTACTGTATATTTCAGTATGCTGATATTGTTCATTTATTTTGCTTCCATGACACAATGGGGGAAAATGTTCTTTTATTTAAAAGAAGAAAGCCATAGATGCCAAGTTTGCCACAAGGCTGTGGAGGGGGGGGGGCTGTTTGTTAGCCTTTGGCAGGTTACCCAGAAAAGAAAGAATAATGTGGATCCATTTTCAGTTAACAGAAACAATGTGGAATGCCTTCAGAGAATTCCTAATGCATTCATTTGACAGATATTCACAACAGACTTAATTCCATCAAAAGTTTAAATGCATGTTTGAAGATCAAAACAGGGTCAAGTCAATTGTTGCCAAAAGGCTTGCATTTCTGTGTGAAGTGGCCCCCTTTTTTTCAACTTCATACTTTAAATACTTTGCACCACCAGCCACTACACCCACGGAATCGCTTGATCATCTAATCCCGTCTTCTCTAGGTCTGAATTTTACATACTTTTATTTATGAAAATGCCTAGTTTTGCGAATCTATGTGTCCTGTCTCAGGCTGTGGCCAGAAGCCATGATTCCTCAGGAGTAAGTGCCACTGGACTTCCTTCTAAGTGGACAGGCATAGTGTTGCACAGTTCAAACTTAAAAATTTGCACAAAATTGTTGACGCAATCTTAAAAAGTAGACAGGTTTCCTGCCTGATCTTAAAACATGTATGGTATTCCAAGCTGCACCAGAGGGGCTTCGCCCCACTGCCTAGAAAGTTAAATTATAATTGTAAATCTACTTGTACAATATGTGTTAAATCTGTACCTAAGATGTAAACATTGTTAAATAAAGAAATTATATGAAAACTTCTCATCTTATGTGGTGGGTTTTGTGCTGCTAGAACCCAAAGCAACGGCATCTTCTTGTTTGATGTGGTCATTTATTGTTGGTATCACTGCACTTCATTAAAATACACATAAATGCAATGAGGGATTTGCTTATTTGCCCCAAATATTTACCAAAATTATTTCACAGCGATGGGTTCTACAGCACCGGCTCTACCCTTTGGTTTTATTGCTTTGTGTTTTCCTCGCTCTTCCGGGAGTGAATCCTGGCCATCTCTTGCTGTGAAAGTATTGCCGTGTATGGTTCCTTGGGAATCTGAGAAACTATTTTCAGAAAAAGCGGTGAGATTATGTGCACGTTTGTTTCTGCCCATCTGGGAAAGAAGATGATTCTAGACATGGTAAGCCAACCAAATAATAATAATAATTAAACAGAACTGCAAAATCTTTTTAGACATACAGACTAGCACTTTTTGCAGACTTTCAGAAGTTAAGGGCCAATCAGTACTTTATAGGTAACCGTCGACAGAAGTTGAAATCCGATGGGGTTTCAGAGATGTGATTGAGGCAGATCTTCAATTACACCTGTGGATGAAGAGTTATATTTGCACCCCGTCCGAATGACAAAGCACCCGTGGAAAGCAAGCTCCTTTGTAAATTGCAGGAGATGGGGACAGCTGTTGTGACCCTCACCCATCTTTCAACACTTGAGAACTTAACCTTCCAAGGGTGGGTCATCTGGAAAGTATCTTCTGGTCCTTAGCCACAAGCTTAGGTACGGCGGCCTTAAGTCATCATGTGTCTGTTCGGTTTAAGTTTTTATTTCATGGGCTTTTCCTTCTATAAACGGCCTTCCCCTCTTCTTGTGCATCATATGGGGGTGATGTAGGGCTTCCATAGGGCTTAAGCTTGGGAAAGGAGGGGAATCAAGATGTTGGCTTTTCGGCCTACTTAAGCCTCGTGGTGTCTCTTATCCATTTAAGATACTGAGAAACCCGGGTGTAGACGCCATATTTGCCTTTCTGGCCACACTGCTCCCCCCAGCTGGTTATTCCCGTCAAAAACCAGGTGCCTTCAATGTCGGTGGCGTAGGGGCCCCCACTGTCTCCTTGGCACGTGTCTCTGGCTTCGGTCGGATGTCCTGCGCAGAACATGTATCGCGTGATGGGATACCTGGTGCTTCTCAGGCAGGTGGGGCGGTCAATAAACTGAACCCGTAGGACTTGAAGGACGCTGGCCATGCGCCCGCCATGAAGCAGCTTCCCCCAGCCGCTGACGGTGCCTAGTCCATGCCTGAGGAGGTTGTTGGTGAACTCCTTGTCAGCGATGCATATGGGGGTGACGTAATGATTGAACTCCAGGGGCGTTTCAAGCTCCAGAAGGGCAATGTCGTTGTGGTACTTGTTCGTCTTGTTGTACGTGGGGTGGAGGATCACCCTCACGACCCGGCGGTATTGTTCCGTGTGATCCAAAGCATCAACGTTGTGTTCGCCTGGTGAAAAGAGACAGAGAGGTCACTGGGGCGGACTGAGGTTAAAAAGCCAAAGGCATCTCTACTTGGGTATGAGCGAGAATTTTGATTTTGCTTTCGTTTCTGAGCAGAGAGCTCCAAAATCTGCAATGTTTGAATGTGGAGCTGGCTGGATAGCTCTGTGGTTTAGGTCTCTGGCTGTGGAGCCAGGATTTGGGAGTTGGATTCCCTACTGCAGCTTCTGCAGGAAGAACCAGCCTGGGTAGCCTTGGGCAAGCTGCACAGTCCTAGGATGTCCCCAGAAGAAGGGAATGGGAAACAGCTACGGAATATTCTCTACCTAGAAAACCCTGGGAAGAGTCATCGTAAGTCAGAATTGACTTGAAGGCAGGTAATTATTATTACTGAATGTGGGAGGCTGAATGTGAACAACCTTTTTCCAGGTAGAGAATGCTCATCCGCCAGTGCAAGGTTTGGCTGGGATGACTTGCCTGCTACAATCATGTGGGGCTCGAATTCGAGGCAGTGCGCCGCCGTGACAATCCACTTTTCATTGAGGATGGAGCCACCGCAGTAGCCTTTCCGCTCAGGGCTGAGCAGGTGTACCTGTGAACGCAAGAAGTTTTCCATCAACCCACAACGGAGTTGAATTCCTGTTCAAAGAGAATACGGAGTCTGGCAAATGGCGAAGATGACTATTCCGAGTGATAGCGCCTCGGAGGACACACAAGTCTGCAAGCTGGAAAAGTTACTTTTTTTAGCGGCATCTCCCACAGCTCTACTGTTCTCATGGATGCTTAGGAAGACTAGGTAAGGGTGGACATGAGGTTTAGCCAAATCTCAAATCCTGAACTGAATTGGCCTGATTTGGACCCATCTGTATGGATTTTGGACTAAAGGAGAATGAGCGGATTTTGGTTCTGGGGCAAAGCAGAAGTTCTTTAGACTGATTCGGGAATCTGAATTTCTATAATGATTGAGGAAGGACCAGACTTTGGGGGGGAGGAGGAATTAGAGGAAGACGTGACTGGGAGGAAAGAGGGGACCCGAGCTAGCTATGCTTAGGGAGGACAGTCATGACATGGAATCAAGGACCAGAATCTCACTTCAATGATGATGTGCACAGGGAGGTGAGCCCTGTGCCTTATCTGGAATTTAGAACATGTACTTCCTTTTGTTAGGCTGAATTTTGTCTCCAAATAGCATGCAGATCTTTTTTTAAAAAAATACATTGCAACCAGTTTTCATTTTCTCTTGCAAGTCTGTGGGGAGGTTGAGAATTTGATAAAAACTCTTTTTCGATCCCGGGCACCCGTTGAATTGGGTGGGACCTAAATCATCACAATGGAGATAAATCCTTATGGGATGCATTGGCATGCAAATCAATACACGTATCTTTGCATGACCCTAATTCTGGGAGCTATGGTTCAAAAATAGAGATGGTGCTCATCTACCCCCAAAGTGATGTTCTAAGGGATGTTAAGTAGGCAGTGGGACCTCCAGCCCCCAGAGAGTGTTGTAAAGCAAACATTTCAGGGAGCGGGGCAGAATTGCTCACCCCTGATGTACAGGATCAGGGCTCATGAATTGTAGTACCCCTGGGGAATACTCTCTCACATGCAAAGAAAACCCCATGCCTGAAAGCTGTGAAGCAGATGGATCCATAGTGTGACCAGCAGGAACTGGGAGCTTCTCATAGCTTGTCGTAGTTTTCAGCAGGGTTTTGCTGGGACATATTGGGGGGGGGGTAACTGCCTCTAGAAGTCAAGTAGACAATTCTACAGGAATAGCTGGTCAAAGAAGCTGGCTGGATAGCTCAGTGGTTTAGGTCTAAAGCTTTGGGGCCAGAGATTAGGAGTTTGATTCCCCACTGGGTCTACTAGGAGTAGAGTCAGCCTGTGTGGCTCTGGGCAAATCACAGAGTCCCAAGAAGAAGGAAATAGGAAACCACTTCTAAGTATTTTCTATCTGGGAAATCCTGAATAGAGTCACCATAAGTCAGAATTGACTTGATGGCACATACAGAAACGCTGCACAAAACTGGTAAAAAAACCCTCTCTTCTGGGCAAAGTTTGGTTACAATATGTGTGTTATGTACCTTGAATAAAAATGTAGGGGGAATTAAAATAAAGTAGGGCTGAAGCTTTTTCACTGATATCCTTCCATAAACGGGGTACAGAATAGTGGAGTGAAAATGTGAGAGGTTCTGGACTGGACTATTTTTAAGCTCTCCCTGAAGCCCCAAACCTAAGGGCCATCCGCTTTTTGGCTCCACCTTACGTACTGGAAAACAGATGTGCATTCTGCTGATGTTTCCCATCATGGAAATTAAAAAACTCTGCAGCACCTAAAACCTTCCTTATCCAAATCATTTAGGAGTCCATCTGGAGGACAAGAGGGGGGTAGGTTTCAGAGAGAGACGTTGGAAATAGGACTTCTCCCTGTTCTGTTTAAGTTCAGTGGTCTTTCAAACAGTGGAAGGTGAATTTTGGGCATTCAAGGCCAAGCAAAAGGGCTGGAGAGACAGTGCTGGATGACTGGAAGGGTGTTTTTTCCTGAAAACCACTTGGTCCTAACCAGAAATTTGCAACGTTCCAGCCATCAGCTGACCTGCAAAGCCACCCAGATGGTTTTCCATTACCTGCCAGGGAACCTCCCCTTTCAAGCTGTCCGAGCCACCAACCACTCGTATATTGGACCTCGTCTTGGCAACAATCTGTGTGGTGTTGTCTGACTCCGATGCTTCCTCTTCCAGATGATCCTCAGTACTATTGATGAAATTCAAAGTATCTAGCGTGTTTTGGGAACGAGTGATTTTCTTGGCAGCCTCTGGAGCTGTGATTCTCCCACAAGGAAAAGGCACTGCAGGGGCAGGAACAGAAAAAAAGAAAGAAAGAAGAAGAGGAAGAAGAAGAAAGCCCTTGTGGATTCTCATCTGTGAAAATGTAGAGCATGCAAAAGGTGGGTCAGACTCTCCTAAAAGATGTCTGGGTGATTGGGGCTGGAATAACAAGAGCAGAGGAAGTACTGTGTTGTAATGAAGGCACAGGCAAGTAAGAATCATTAGCTTTGCCAAAGACCTGCTCCTTCTAGTGATGGAAAGTGCTAGAACTCCTAAGCATTTATGGTGCCTGTTTTCCACCTCAAAAACTGCTATTACAGATAACCCAATATTAAAAATGGGGATTCCTTTGCAGCTGAGAGCATCTGAGTGCACAATGAAAGCATTCTTCCTCTCCTGTAACTTTCTTGTTTTCTGATTGGCCTCTGCCACTTGAGCACAGCATTCCTTGGACAGCTGATTCCTCAGTCACAGAAGCTTTAATGAATCACAGCTCTCCAACACTAACGTGTGCTCAGGTGAGCTCCCTCTCGCATCTGCTTCTGCTGTCCGCTTCCGGCACCCAAAATGCTTAAGTTTGCTCTACCTGTGGGCACACAGCCTCTCTGGTCGTCATCAAGCCTGTAACCCGGAGCGCAGGAACACACCGCTTTCCCCGTTGGGCCGTTCTTGCAGAACTGCTTGCAACCTCCGTTCTTTGTGGAGCAGGTGGCATCTGTTTGCGGATTGAGAGAGAAGAGCAGGGAAAAGGAAGGGCATCAGACGTGCATGGCAAGAAACGAGGCCTGAAAATAAGGAAGGAGAAGATGCTGGTGGAAGAAAGATAGGAAAATCTGGGTTTACTGCTCACAGGAGAGCACAGAATGGCTTGTGTGTGTTGTGTGGTGTTACAGGGGGACTCTTTGTGGGTGTCGCATGCAGGCATACACACAGAGACTAAATCGTCTCGCTAGTGTCAATTAGAGTAGACCCCCTGTATGTATGGGGCATAGCCAGTCCATTTTCCCCTGCAAGTCCCATTGACTGAACGGGCCTCGCCTCCTTTAGACTTAACAGTTGCATCGAGTTCACTGTCGGCAGACCTGGGACGTTGCAATCCCCAAAAGTAACTTCTCTGAGCTCAGTCCATGTGCAAAGGGGAGAGGAAGGGACTTCGGCCATACTGAAATAGTGATGACGTGGCTGTCTTACTGCGGCTTTGATGAAAAATGGTAGAACCTGATAGATTCAAGCCTGCCAAAAATGTCCAAAAGAGGTGGGGTTTTGCTTCTGGCACCACAACGCCAAAGGCCAAGAAATGGCCTGAGATTGCTTTGCAAGATCAGGACCCTCATGGCCAGCGGGAAAAAGGATGCTAAGCTTTACATAGTAAAAGTTCACCTAGTGTGGAGGACACCATGCATTGTGACACAGAATACCCGACTAGAGATGGGCACAAACTGGAAGAACAGTGGTTTTGGATGGTTTGTGGTTCATGGCAACCCACGAACCCTTGAAACATCACAACCCACCCACCCTGAAAACGGGCCGGTTCGTGGCTTGCCCACCCCCTTCCCACTGCTCCTGTCTCCTCTGTACCTGGTCCTGCTGCCACCGCCTCCACCACTGCCCCCATCGGAGACCGTGGGCCGGCTTCCCTTCCAGGAGCCAGGATTGCTGCCTCTGCACATGTGCCCACCTACCTGCTGGGTGGTGGGCGCATGCGCAGAAAAGTGAACCTGGACCTCTGATGATGGTGGCAGGAACGGACAGGTGATGGGGCAGCGGGAAAGGGGTGGGCGGGCATCTCATTTTGCCAAAGCAAAATGAGTTTGGTGCTTCATTCTGTGACAGCCAAACGGGATCGCTGAACTGAACCACAAACCAAACTACGAACCAGACCGATGTATCGGTTTTTCTGGCTCATGGCTCGGTTGGTGCCCATTTCTATATCAGGCTCGCCACTGCTGTTGGTGAGTGCCTCTTTAAGTCAATAAACCCACTTGATCGCAGCCGCTCACGTACCTAGTTCGCAGTTCCTGCCTTCGAAACCTGCCAGACACCAGCATATGTAGTTGCTCACGTCATCCTGACACCGGCCTCCGTTCTGGCAAGGGTTTGACAAGCATTGATCGCCATCTTGGAAACAAAGGTGGGAGACGGTTCAATGCAACAGTTGTTACAGGTATTATTGCTTTGAGCTGTCCAGAATGGCCATTGGCCAGATGAGTGTTACACAAAATCGGATGTCTGGATGGGTGGATGGATACATTTGAGGTTCATGACCCTGTTTTGACTGCAACTAGAATTTGGAAAAGTTCCTGTTTCTCTGCGTCTCCCAGGGATTCAGGGAGTTGATTGTAGTCCCAGCAAGGAACTCTTCCAGGGTCTAATGGCAGCAATAAGATCTCCCAAACAATACAAATTGCAAAAATTTGTGATTGCCGGATGAGATTATATTTCTGATGGTCTTCTGTATTTGTACTTAAATGAATAGGGCTGTGTTTGTTTTAAGTTTGTTGTTTGGTCTGGTGCATGTTTCTGCTCTTCCTACGAGACTGCAGGTGATTTCATATCTCAGATGTAGCTAAGTTTCACACCAGAAAAAAAATTGTATTCTAGGGATGTGGAGTGAAATCTACTTCCTTTAAGTACTGGAACAGACATGTACCTGATAAAGTAATGAATTGCAGCACATTTTTGAGACACATAAACTAAAGATTCACTAGGTGAGTATTTTTCCCAACACTTTGACTAAATACGACAGCCCAAACTCTCATGGGACTCTTCAGAGGGATATAAATGCATCCTCCATCATTCCCAGTCAACAGCTGGTTGGGGATGATGGGGGTTGTAGTTTGACACACCTGAAAACCCCTGAGCTAAGGAGCCAAACGTATCCCATGAGGTGCACTTTCTGTGACTCTTCCTGGAACACATCTACTTTTCTTGTTTATCAATTTCTCTCACGTACACAGAGATTCAATTAAACAATCACTTACCGAGGTATACCTTCCAAAATTCCATCTACAAAGAAAATGGTAAAAATGAATTGAAATACAAATACAAACAAGGAAGCAATTAAACGCTTCAAGCTACTGATAGTCCCACTGAAGCAATGGGATCCACACAGGCGTGGACTCACCGTCGTGCAGCTAAATCAATGGGTGAGCTCAGGCTCAACGGACTAAAATGGGATTTGTTATACCACATTTGTGCAGAGATAATTGGTTCTCTTCCCTAATCCATTGTGTTGTGCCTGGTACAAGTTGGTAGATTTCCGTGCTCTGGTTACACGATGGTTCCCAACCTTGGGTCCCCAGTTGTTGTTCTTGGACTAAAACTCCCAGAAGCCTTCACCACTGACTGTGCTTTCAGGAACATTTGCCAGTGCAGAAATAATTGGTTCTCTTCCCTAATCCATTGTGTTGTGCCTGGTACAAGTTGGTAGATTTCCATGCGCAGGTTACATAATGGTTTCCAACCTTGGATACCCAGATGTTCTTGGACTAAAATTCCCAGTAGCCCAAGAACAACATCTGGGGACCCAAGGTTGGGGACCACGGTTCAAGTGTAGAAGAAAACTCTGCCTGAAAGGCTCGTATCAGTCTCCCCTCGTGTTAGATCTGGCCTCTCAGCAGTCAAAACTTACTGTCTTCTCATCATTCTCGAAAACTTCTCTGGCTTCCTCAAAGCTGCATTGTTCTTCTAAGCATTCGCGCTCGAGGTTTCCCTGGACCATCTCCTCCAGCCGTCCTGTATTGTACCTTTTATACCGCTGCAAAAGAGCGTTTGCCTCTTCCCGGTTTACAAAAACTTTGGGAGGCAAAGAAATGATTAAAGCAGAAAGAAAGATGGACAACAATGAACAGAAACAGTGGTTTTCCAAGAGGCACAGCCTGCAATCCCACAGGTAGATGTTATTGGTGAGAAGGACGCTGGGATGTAGTTCAGACTGTGCACTAGGGATGCCGGTGGGGAATGCTCCTGGGTCAATAAGTGGTTTTAAAAATCCTTAAGAGCAAATAACTAAATGTTCAAGGAGGAAGAGCCTAACCCAGCTTTTGCCTCATTGTTGATCTTGTGCTTTCAGGGAGCTGGCAACACAGCAGGGAATTTTGTTTGTTTGTTTGTTTAAAGGTGCAATAATGAAACCTGTCCCCTGTTTCTGCTGCATCTCTTGTCTACTTCTGCTGCATCTCTTGTCTACTTCTGAGATTATGTATGGGAATATTCTGAAACCTTAGAATGGAAATTCTCTCCCCCACCCCCCGTGATGTTGTCCCATTGGAATTCTCATAATGTTCGTAGCGGAACTTGCAAAGTAATTAAGATATTTAAGGAGTGGTTTTTATCAGTGCCACCCACCCATGAGTTTCCATGGCCGTGCAGGGATTTGGACCCAGTTCTCCTGAATCTTTGTCTATCTTTCCACTACACTGACTATTGCGTATCTCCATGTGGAATGCTAATGATGTGCTTTTCTGTCCATTACAGCCCCCCCGTATCTATGGGATCAGTATCTGTTGATTCACTTACCCACAGTCTGTAAATATTAAAAGAAAAATCCTAGAAATAGGTATTTACCAAGTTACCAAGCGTGGCCACCAGAGTGAGACAGAGACCATGCATTCGCTATTAAAATAGCATTTGCTGTATTTTCAGCATCTGTAGGGGTGTGGCTTGGAACCTACTATACATCTTTGTTTCCAGCACCCAGGCTTAGGTGTAGCTTTAAGGATTTACAGCTACATGCAAGAAAGAGCTGTTTCTTGTGAGCACCTTCAGCCTCCTCCATCATATAGCACATCTAATTGGCAATATTTGGGACCATGGTGTGCTTGCAGTTAACCTCTGCATCTCCTCAGGTTTAATCCCTGACACATTTTGAAGAGATTTTGCAGGACTTAGCTTTTCTGGAATTCAGGTCCTTCTGTCTGGCCCTTTCCTTGGTTGAGAGAAGCCAATATATTTATAGCCTCCAGTCTGTACAAGAAAGCATTACCCTTGAGTTCGAAGGAGCTCTGACTTTTGCAGAAGTGCAGCCGAAGTTTTAGAGGGAAAGGAAGTCCAGGAGGAAGAAATGAAATTGGGATTATTTTCTATGATCCTATCACGTTGCCCGTTCTACTCGGGAATCTCTAATATCCCAACCATCAAATGCAAAACGAATCTAATTCAGAGCCAGTTATGATGCGTTTCTCGCATTGACGTCTTCTCTAAAGAGGGGTGCCTTTCCTGAGGATCTTGCCTTCTCTGCCTCCATTGAGATAATAATTATTAACTTCTCCGATTGCGACCTACGGCTTATTTGCCCAAGGTAAGCCCCGGGTGACTTGGGCAGACAAACCGTCGTACAGTACTTCTTAAACTCCCTAATTTCGGTGGGTAAGATGCAAGCAGGGCCCCACAAAAGTGACCTTTTAAATTAGACAATTTTAGCTGGACCGTGCTTCTACTTGGTAGTGCATAGGCTACAAGCACCACCTAAAACAGACAAAAAGACAACACACACACACACACACACACACACACACACACACTACACTTTTTGTTCATATTAAACAATATCTTCGTTATGCATTTTAAATACCTCTTGGCATTAATGTTCCAAAGCTCAGATAAGTTCATTTTTCCCCTCCCAGTATTTCTACTCTATATCTGCGTTGCAACCAACACTTGGAAAAAGCTACTTCGGAACGCCTATCATCCCCCAACTGGGAGCCTGTGGCCCTGCTGGCTAGGGATTCTGGGTACTGTAGTTTCCCAGAAAAGGAATATTCCCAGTCTCTTGTCTGTAATTCTCCTTTCTCCTTCTTAACAGCATTTTTAACGCTTGAACCCTAAACCCATTGTCTGCATGGTGGATCTGAAGATGGAACAGCTCGGCTGAAGATCAAATAAAGTCCTTTAGATTAGAGAAAGTTGGATTTCAAATGGGGTTGCTCTAGATGAAGAGGAAGATGGTCACCGTCTGCCGTTCCGAGTTGCCTGTAAATGATCAGCTCTTTATCAGCTAACAGAAAAGGGCTCTTATCTCAGGGCGAAATTAAAAACACAAGCATTTTTGTCAGCTTTGCAAGAGACCAACCTGCACATTCGGCGTGGAGCAGCCATCCTAGGAGACCAGCGGTGATTAGAAAGAAGCAGCATGCCATTTTCCCGAAAAGGGGTTGCTAACGGATTGCGAAATGGGAGCTGCAGGATCAGTCCATCGTTCCAAAGGGCAGGAACCTGTTTGCTTTGTTTGGGGGAATAAACGCTGAAGATAGCCTTCTTGTTTGAAGGTCCTTCAAAGGGTATCTCCCGGAGCTTCTAAAATGGCTGCCCTTATATTTGAGCAAACGGTGTTTGCTGTGCGATCATTTCCCCACTGAATTCTCAGGAGGGTCATAGACTCAGGCTTCCGATTGCCAGTTCTTTGCTTAAAAAAAAATTGATGAGGCATCTGGCCTGTCAAATGGAGTGTAGAATACAAAGATGGATTCATTTGTAACAAGAAGGTTTCCAGAGACACCATGAGAGCCACAAAGAAGTCTTTAAGGGTCATTGAAGGGTGGATATTTATTTATTTATTTATTTATTTGATTTATACCCCGCCTATCTGGTCCGAAAGGACCACTCTAGGCGGATATGACCAGACTGAACTTAATGAGGGCCATGCTCCAGATTCAGACAAATTCTGACTTACTATCCAAATCAGCCTGACGTTGACCAGTTTTTATAAGGTCCAGACTGATATGGAAGGGTCAAGTGACATTACGGTTCTTTCAGATGGACATTTGTTCCATTGTTTGGTGCATTGCAGGAACAGATTGGTTTGCTCATTAAAAAGCAATTTAAGGCATACACTAAATTAAAATACAATTGAATAATTAAAGGGAGGTAAACGTTAAAAACTATATTAATTTTAAAATGGCATTGCTCCTGAGTGTTAAAGGCCTGCCGGAAAAGAAGAGTCTTCAGCTGTCGGCGGAAGGACAAAAGGGAAGGGGGCCAGCTTGATCTCCTGAGGGAGAGCATTCCGGAACTTGGGAGCTGCCACAGAGAAGGCCCTGTCTTGTGTCCCCATCAGCCGTGCCTGCGATGGCAACAGGACCAAGAGGAGGGCCTCCTCTGATGATCTTAAAGGCTGAGAAAGTTCATAAGAGGAGATATGGTCCTTCAGGTGGCCTGCCTTTGTGAAAAGTGGGGATTGAAACCAGGGCTGCAAGCAGTTTCATGATCAACACTATCCTCAAAATCTAATTACTTAGATTAAATTGATTAAAACTTGATTATTTTTAAAAAAATTATCAAAAGTTGATTATTTTTTAAAAAAATAATAATCAAAAGCTGATTATTTTTTTAAAAAAATAATCAAAGTGATTTTTTTTAAAAAAATTAATCTAAGTGATTCAGTGTATCAGTGACAGTCTAGCACAGGCAAAACTAATAATTTCACTTCTGATTGGATGGTTTAATGAGGTCTCAAGCAATGTCACGACTCGCATTACGGTTCTTTTAGATGGACATTAATGAGGTCTCAAGCAATGTCACGACTCTTGTCAGTGACTTCCTCTGAAGGTCATTGGAGCTGTTCACCCTCCTCCCACTTTGGGCATCACCTTGCTCCATGGCGCATGCATGCACGCACACAGAGCAAAGGAGAGAGAGAGAGAAGATAATACCATTGAACATCAGATGTGGGCCATCTGAGCCAAAGGAATGTACCACTATTGTCCATATGGGGACCCTGGAGAAAGAGGTGGAGGAGTGGACTTTGAAAGAAAAAGAACAACAACAACAAATACCCAGGAAAGGAATTGGTTACAGGGAGAGCCATTTTGTGGGACAGGGAGGAATGTAAAAAAGAAAAAGTGGGAGGAGAAGGACGGCAGTTACAAGGAAAGGAACTGGTTACAGGGAGAGCCATTTTGTGGGGCAGGGAGGAATGTATAAAAGTGGGAGGAGAAGGACGGCAGTTACAAATGGAGGTAGAGGTGAATGTTGTTCAGGACAGGAGAGTGCTGAGGAAGATAAGAGTGAAGAAGGCTGGATGGAGATAGTGAAAGAAAAGGCCAAGAGATAATGGAAAGGACAGATTTATAGGAAGCCTCCATTCTGGGGCCAAACAGAAGAAAGAGAAAGAAAATGAGCAGAGAAAGAGGCCCATAACCAAGAGAACAGGCGATGTCTCGGGCAACCTGGGACTTCCTGTGGAATGAGTCCTTTCTGGCCATGGTTGTGACCAGCCCTGGGCAAGACCGTATGAGAGCTATTTGGGGGTTGGGTCCATCACCCTCCCTGTGTGGGAAACCAGGCGGCGTAACTGAGAGAGAGAGAGGAGAAGAGAGTGGTGGCTGACCCTCTACAAGAGAGTTATTGTGGTTTGAATCAAATGTTGAAGACAAACCTGCAATGGAAGGGAACTGTTCTGTAGAAGAATGGGAACCCTTGAATACTGTATAAAGGACTTCTCATTGACATAATGATGTTCTGCATCAAACACTCACAGTTTCCCCCCCTCTTTAATCTCCCAACTGGCATTTCCCATGTTTTCTAAAAGAAAAGCATGTTCAGTTATGTGGTGGTTTAGTTATTTATTGTTATTTCTGTGAAACCATTCAAAGGGGGTGGGTGGAATTAGAATGGTTACATTTCCCTGCCCTTCCAACATCAGAGTACAGTAGGGCCACAGTATCTGCAGGATCAGTACCCACGGTTTCAGTTATCCACTGCCTAAAAATAGTCATTAACACCCCCCCCAAGAAATTTTTTGTTTCCAAGGTGTATTATCAGAACTGGCCACTAGGGGGAGCCATAGAATAAGCTATACGTGGGTTTCTGGCTTGGAATACGATCACTTGTGGATACCGTCATCCTACCGTAGCTCTCCAAAAGGCAAAAGAAAATAATTTTTGGTTCTATCTTAATTACATAAGGCTTGTTGTGTTTTTAATCCACTCAATATGGTCTGCTAATCCAGTGTAAACGTTTTCTTTGTCCTCTCCAGCACACTGCTCCCCACAAGTGGAAATGGCTGTGAGGAACCAAGTGCCGCCAATGTCGGTGGCATAAGGGCCGCCACTGTCTGCCTGGTATGTTTTCTTAGTTGCAGTGCGGCTGTCCGCGCAGAACACGTTCGGTATGACGGTACGTCCTGTGCTGTTCAGGCACCTATCCTGGTCAAGCTGATGGACTTTCAGAGCCTGGAGAACATTTGCTGGTTTTCTTTGGTCCAACGGTGTCCACCACCCGCTCACGAGGCCAAATTTGCGCTCGAGGAGGCGGTTGGTGAATGCTTCGTCCGCAAGGCAGATGGGGGTGACGTCCTTGTTCCGTGTCAAGGGCGAATCCAGCTCCAGAAGGGCAATGTCATTCTGGTACCTCTTGCTTATGTTGTACGCTGGGTGTGGGATTGCCCTCACGATGCGACGAAGCTGCTCCGTGTGTTCGAAAACATCTGTATTATATTCACCTGGGAGGGGAGAAAGCCATCGGGTATGTATTAAGAAGTGTCTGGTAGGGATGTGACGGTGAATTTATTTTTTGTTCTGCTTCTGAACAGAATTGGCCCCAAATCATCTCCCCCCCCCTTTTCTATCCCAGACAGAAATGAGAAATTTAAAAAATCTGAACGGGGCAGAAACTACACCTTCCAAGTTCAGCCTGACAAGGCTTGCTGAACCATGTAAAGTTTGGATTTGAATCCTTGTGTCTATAATTATCCTTGTGCTGAACGATAATTGTTTCTAATGGTTGTTGTGGGTTTTTCGGTTAAAGTTTGGATTCGAATCCTTGTGTCTATAATTATCCTCGTGCTGAACGATATTGTTTCTAATGGTTGTTGTGGGGGTTTTTTGGGCTCTTTGGCCGTGTTGTAAAGGTTGTTCTTCCTAACGTTTCACCAGTCTCTGTGGCCGTGAGCATCTTCAGAGGACAGCACTCTGTGCTCTGGTGTGGTTTGCTTGGGAGTGGAGTATTTATGGGTGTGAGATAGGCTTTTGTCCTATTTGGGAGATGGGTGATTAGTGTGTCTTGTTGTGGGTGTATTGTTGTGATAAGGAGAAGAGATTGTCACTGTGCTTGATGGGCAATTGTTTCTGCTAGTTCTTGAAGAGGTTTCAGGATCTCCAAATTTCATTACTCAGGACAGGAACAGAAGAAAAGAAAAGAGAATCTCAAAGGTGTGTGTGTGTGTGTGTGTGAGAGAGAGAGAGTCTTCTTTTGGAAAAAAAATCATCCTCACAAATGTGAAATTTAGCCTTCTTTTGGAAAAAAATCATCCTCACAAATGTGAAATTTCTCCTCAAGAGTGACGCAAAAATATCTCACAGTCCCGCAGGTAAGGAGAAATCCATTGCAGTGTCTCACCCTTGTGTGGGCATACAAGACATGGAAGAGTTTGCACATCTTGTTTCTACACCACACCACTTTTTACCTGCCACCACGGTGTGAGGCTGGTGCACCAAGCAGTGAGCGGCAGTCAGAACCCACTTGTCGTCGATGATAGCGCCTCCACAAAATCCTCTCCTCTCAAAGCTGTACATGTAAGCCTGTGAGTAGAAAAAAGGGGGGACTGAGTTATTAAAACTGGCCCGGAAGTTTTGAACAAGAATACAGAACTTGGCTGATGAGAAGGAAGGGGATGCAGAAGTTCTTATCAAGCTGCATGAAACAATGGGACTAGAGGGAAAAAATTTAAGAAATGCAACTTATCAGAGGAGTTGGCCTCTATCATCGGGAATATTGGCAGTGAAATGTGAGATACGGCTTATTCAGAAGTAATAACGATGGTGTTTGAAGAGGCTCACTCCCAATTGACTGGATCACTCAGTGGTATCTGGCTGTGGAACCAGAGGTTGGGAGTTCAATTCCACACTGGGCTTGCTAGGAAAAGAGCCAGCCTGGGTAGCCTTGGGCCAGCTGCACAACAGTCCCAGGGCTCCCCCCAGAGGAAGGGGATGGTAAAGCACTTCTTAGTCTCTACCTGGAAAACCCTGAAAAAGGGGTTGCCCTTAATCAGAACTGAATTGGTGGCACAGGATGATGATGATTAAGTAGGAAAAGGAAGGAAAACGTGTTGATGGCAGCTGCCTCCAGAGGGCAGCAAAGCCTGAATTAGGTACGGAGAGCTGGAGGATTTCAATACTAAGGGTATGATCACAGTGGAGGACAGATCGCAAACTGGACCACATGTAGAGAGATCTGGTGTGATCTATTTCACAATGATCATATGGAATAGGGGGGAATGTCTTCCAGTCCAATCCTGATTTGTGCGCCCGCTACCAGTTATTGGGGCTGGGCTTAAATGATTTCCCAACAGATGACTCACTTTAAGGGAAATCGCTCTCGTTAAAGTCACCCTTTCTGGCTCAATCAAGAGTGCACCTTTGTAACCTTCTGATCACATTGAATTTTATCAAACAAGAAAAGACTTTTAAAGTGAAGAAAAGAGTTCAAGGATAACAGAATTTGTAGGACTGGGAGACACACCCAGCATGCAGCAGATGCACTAATGGGAAACCCACAAGGAATATGTCACACTGTCCAGTGATCATTAAAATCTCAATGCCCAGTTCAACTTTTAAGTGGTTTGGCATTCATGTAGGGAATGGAAGAAAATGGAATAATTAGGGGTGCCGTTCTGCTGTTTTCCCCAGGGAATGGCATGTCTCAGGAGGGAACTGTTCATCTCGGTCTGTTGGATTAATTCCACCCCATGCTGAATGGATGACTGAAGTAGGTTTGAGGAATCTGTAGACCTCCAGATTTTGCTGGACTCCAGCACCCATCATCCTCAAGGCAAGATGGCTGACAACTATGCTATGAGAGCAGAAATCAATCAACATCTGGATGGACTGAGATCCTAAACTAGTCCTAAACTAAAACAATCAGTTTTCTTTGAGTAACAGGAGAGTCAAGGGTGCAAAACAGCCAAGCGTAAGTGAGTCACCTGCCACGGGACTTCCCCTTTCACGCTGTTCATCTCAACTGCCTCGCGCTTTGGTCTCGCTGGCTGTGGAGGATGGCCCGGCATTTTCTGGGGGGTGCTCATGGTATCTGATGAGTGCGTCAATTTGACCTCCGGGGCTGTGATCCTTCCACATGGAAAGGGCACTGTGGGGAAAACACGAGACCACACATATAAGCTCTGCCCTCCAAAAGCACTGTCACCAGAGTTTGGCTATGCTTGACATGGAAGTAGGGCTGGAAAAGACTACCTCTTGTATTTGTACATCAAAGAAGAAATGGGAGGAGATTTCCCAATGAATTGACTTGTCGCTTGACATGGAAGTTGGGCTGGAAATGACTACCTGTTGTATTTGTACAAAGAAGAAACGGGAGGAGATTTCCCAATGAATTGACTTGTTTGAAATGTGCTGCTGGCGGAGAGCTTTGTGGATGTCCTGGACTTCCAGAAAGACAAACAAGGGGGTCCTAGATCAAATCAAGCCTGAACTGTCTCTGGAGGCGAAAATCCTTGTATATGCATTCTTGTGTGGTGTTTGCAAGACTAAACAACAACAACTGGACAGTACCCATTCCAACAGGTTTACATAACTGCTGTTCGAACCTCAAATGCCTTGCAAGGAAATGATTACAGATCCTGTGTTTCAAAGGGCCCTGTTTCTACACCAAGTCTGGATCACGGGCGTGCAATCGTACACATGTCTACTCAGGTGCCACTGAGTTCAATGCAGCTTCCTCCGAGTGAGTGACAACACACATTGCAGCCAGCAGGGAGGATGAAAGACTGGCTGTTCGAACTGGCACAGCTAACCTGCACAGCAAATCTTATACCTGTTGGTTCACACGACTTCTGGTCTTCTTTCAGTCTGTAGCCAGAAACACAGGAGCAAACAGCTCCCTTTGTGGGGCTGTTCTCACAGATCTGCTTGCACCCTCCGTTGTTGGTTGAGCAGGAGGAGTCTGATGGGGAGATGAAAAGAAATCAAATCAATATCACAGTTTTCTAAACTGGAAGGGGTGGTGATGACATGCCATCACCTATAACGGCTTGCCGGAGAAGCTGGTGCATTAGAACAAACGAGGAACAGCCCATCTCAGCCAGAGGCTGTGACAACGCAGTCACATTTTGCAGGATTTGCTCCAGCCATAAGGTAGACAAATTCAAATTATTTTTTTTATCACATGATATGAAGGCCAATTCGAATCAGAGTGTTTTCTCTGCTGCCGGAGGTGGGGCAATTAAAACAGGCTTTCCTCCATGTGATCAGTTCTGCCCTTCTGCACGAGGATGAGGCACGTGTCTTGGGGTGGTGTTGTGGGGACATAAGCAGTTTGGGCATGATGTTTAGGGACTGCGAGAAGACATGACACTGTGAGGAAGGGCTATTTGACTCACGTCCTGTTGGGTTGGGTGGGGGGACGTCCCATGAACTTCTGGCTGGTTCTGGGAGTTGGGAGAAACACATCATGTTGAATCAAAACCTCCATTGGTCTGATCCCGAAAAGAGACACTTCAATTTTTGTTGTTGTTGTTGCATATTACATTTTATATCTTGGCGAAGTTGTTCCAAGCCATCATGTTCTGTCTTCCATTGCATGGCAGAAACAACAACAGGTAATGTTCATTTAATGAACCCTTGAAATAAATACTGCACTCCCAAGCCAACTACACCAGAGCACAGGTTGCTGTCCTCTGAAGATGCCCATGGCCACAGAGACTGGCGAAATGTCAGGAAGAACAACCTTCAGAACATGGCCAAAAAGCCCGAAAAACCCACAACAACCAACCCTTGAAATATTAAACATAATATTAAAATATATTATATTATATTAATTTTATTGAGTGCTTTTTCCCCTTCCTCCTTCACACTCTGCAAATACTCAGTCTGAAGCAGATTCGAGCTTTACTTAAAAACTCAACTGTTTTTAATATTTTAGTGGTCTGATAAAAATCCTGCCTAGCCTTGTTTTTACGCCCAGGGAGTTCTCTGTGGCCTTTAATTTCCATTTTTGCAGTGAGTGTGGAGTAATGAAATGCAACGGAAGTCTGATTTTAAAAAATAAAATAAAAGACAGAGCTCACTTACCACGATATTTCTTCCAAAATATAAGCTAGAAGGAAAGGAGTACAATTAAAGACAAACAGAAATTCAGGCAGATGCCCTTCGCATTACATTCGACTTGGGACCCAAAGGGAGCGTTTCTTCATGAGAGCAATATTGTGCTTTAATCTCTGCTCATCAGCTACAATTTGATCCTAAATACGTTTGCAATAAGGTGGCGAGAAAGCTGCACGTCCGATTGCACTGAAAACGGTCTTCCTTAGAATGACTTTTCTATCCATCGGGGAATCGCGCCAGCCTAGCCCTAAAAATGGCTCCAGCTCAGCCCCAAAAACTAGAAGCAAGGAATCAGCAGAGGGAACATGGGTTCAATTCCCTGTGTGGTGTGTGATGGGCAGGAAACCACGTGTACACCCCAAGGGCTCCAAAAGATGGGCTATTAGTGTATGTACGACTCTGGGTGGTTTACTCAAACATTCCGTAGAATCCACATGACAATATATAGAACAATATGGGGATTTTAAAAATTGGTTTCCATGGGTCTGCTCTCCAATGCACCCCTTTCAGTTAGTCGGACCCTGAGTAATCTCACGTCCCGGTAATTACCGTTCTCTGGTCATCTTCAAAGACTTCTCGAGCTTCTTCAAAATCACAGACTTCTTCCACGCACTCACGCTCCAGGTCCCCCTCCAGGATTTCTTCCAAAAACCCCGTGTTGTACCTTTTGTAGCGATACAAGACGTTGTTCGCCTCCGCCCGGCGAATCAAAACCTCTGCAGGGAGAGAAAGGAGTCGCCAAGAATCATTGCCTCTGTCCAGAACGAAAGCCAGAGAACCAGGTCTTTGAAGAGTGATCTTCATGGTGTCTCCCTCTGAGGTTTTCCCAGATTCGTGTGATCCTTCTTGATCAGAGGCAAAGGTGCTTTTATGTGGAAATCCTCCTGCCTGGACTGCCCGCTCCATCCATACATGGCTCAGCTCGAAGGTTTTAGCTTTGGGGCAATATTGTGTTTGTTTGCGGCCTACCTCCACAACATTACAACAACCCACCTTCTGTTTTCAGCCCTGAAATATTAGGAAACAGGAGGCCGATAACCAGCAAGTCCTAGTTATCTTTCCTGAATGCCTCATCTATTTGCTTTTCAAAAATAGGACAGAGACGGGCACGAACTGAGGAAACAGATGTTCGTAACGGTTCGTGGGTTGTGGCTATTCACGAACTACGAACCAAGAACATTTCGATGAAAAAAACCATTTTTGGTTCATGCAATTTATCTTAGAACTGCAGAGCTAGAAGGGACCCTATGGACCACTGAGGTCAAGGAGGCCCGGTGGGGAATCAAACTCCCAATCTCTGGTTCCAAAACCAGAGACCTAAACCACTGAGCGATCCAGGAATTTGTTGGGATTTCTGGGAGTGGTAGAATGGCCCCTGTGTGAGTTAGCGATGCCAAACGCGCAGTGAGTCTTCAGCCGACTCTCCTCCCAACCCCCTCCAAGCTTGGCAAATATTGGATTTTGGGCATCCCTTGGGAGGGATCTGCTTTGGGGGGATTGTACCTCAGATGTCTCAAATCCAATATTTGCCAAATTTGGCCTGACTCTTGGTCTGAATCTCCTCCCCCACCCCCTCCAACTTGGTGAAGATTGGATTTGGGATGTCTGAGATACAGCCTATGGATGAATCACCGATGCTGATAACAGTTCATTTCATTTTGTTTGGTGGGAAAACGCTGCCTGGGCTACATCCGTGATTGGTGCAATGAGAATGATGCCAGCCACTGGGAGGACCTGCTGGTTTCCGGGGAGGGACTGGATCTCCGTGGTACCTGTGGCGCCCCTATTCCTACTAGTATCCCCAGGGACACGAATATGAATCTCCCATGTCTAGTCCAAACTCAAACTCAAATTGGGGGTGTGGAAGTTCCAAACCTAATACCTCTTGATTCCTAAAGAATGAATGAATATAGCATCCTAGATGGTAAACCAAGTCAGATCTAATTTATGACATTTTGAATATATTCCTAATTTATGCCGTCTAGAAGCAGATCTGAAAAGCACACCTAAGATATCTATGTGATACTGATAAAAGGAGAGGCAGCAGGGGACGGAGTGTCGGACCCGGAGATGTGGGTTCAAATCCCTGCCTAGCCATGGAAAATCATTGGGGGGGAGGGATGGCAATGGTAAAAATAGTCCTTGAACATCTCTTTTTTTACCTTATCAACCCTACAAGGGTTGACATGAATTAAAAGCAACTTGATGGGACAACACCAAAGAGTGTTGTGATAATGGCTCAAACTGCATGTTAACAATCCATTTGGGCATATTTTATGCTCCAATGGCTGAAATAACCATGTTCGGTTTTTGCTTTAGCTTTATTAGCCTGTACATTGGTTCTCATTTCAAGTCAATTGTATGTTTTTGTCTTCCTTCTACATTTCTCAAGTGACTGTAATGCAGCGAACACACTATCTGGAACCAGTTTGACGATTTGGCAAAGATAGGGAGCTGCCTCAAGTGGCTGAAATGGGGGGCAGCCATAAGAGCCCCCCATCTATTTCTCCTGGGACCTTGGAGGGGGATGATAGTAGTTATTCTCCCACAAAGTAACTTCCCCCAACTTGGTGTGATGATCCTTCAGCTCTAGAGGTAAAGGTAAAGGTTCCCCTTGACAAATGTCCAGCCCATGTCCGACTTTCTTCTGTACCAACCCTCCGTCAGACATTTTGGGTCACTCACTGATGATTGATTTTGCACACGACGGCACTACCACCCTCTTATTTCAAGCCACAAGAAACACGGGTAACTTGTTATAAAATGAACTAACCTGCCTGCGCAGCATGGAGCAGCCATCCCAGGAGAGAAAGAATGAATAGGAAGAACCTGTTTGCCATTTCTCCAACACAGCGTAACCGCTTTGCTGGCGAGTGGTGAAATGCACGCTTCCGGATCAATTGTTCCAAAGTACAAATTCTTGTTTGCTGTCTTTGGGCTTCATCTTTGAGGGGAAAAAATCGGAATGGAATACCTCTAAATGAGCATTTCCAGAAGCCTCACTTCAACCTAACCGACATTATGGGACTGTTGAATCTATGGCTGTATTTTTGCACAGCAATAAGCTAGGATTCCTGGTTTCACACCCTCAATGAATTTTTTTTTTAAAAAAAAAGCCCAGACATCTTTGTTGATCCGTATTAACCGATCTGTTCCAGCTGTTTCCACCTCAAAAGACCTAGTCTTTTGAAAATCTTGGGGATCCTGATTGCCTAGAGAGAGCCAAGACGCTTCAGATGCTTCACAAAAAGACACAGAGAGCTCCTGATGCTACGTTCTTCCTGGGAAGAGTCAGCTTCTCCACTGCTTTTTTGGAGTTTTGCAGCTAAACTCGGAAGACCCAAGTTACGCCATTGCATTCGTGCCAATGAAAATATTCTGTTGGATTCTGTCCAGTGTTTGTCCCTTTTGGATCAAGGCAAGCATGGTTTCATGGCTGCCACTTAAACCTTTCAAATGGATTGGAGACGTGTAACCGTTCAGATGTTGTCGGAGGGCATCTGCCATGTTCCCCCAGCTAAGTTGGTCAAGGTGGCCCTTTCTTGTAGTCCTTGCCTTTCAGACTTCCTGCATATCCTGCTTGCTCTCCCTCGGACATGTGCCAGTTTGTCAATGTCCCTGCTCAAAACCTATCACTCATAACTAGACATAACACACTGTAGCCCCCTTCAGGATGTTGCCCGATCATCGGAAGAACTAACACCAGGGACAAGGGTTTGGATGACTATGAAAGTCCCATCTTCAAATATCAAGGCACACAAGTTACATCTTCGTCCACTCAGCTTTGAAGTCTGAAGAGGGCTCTGTAATTATGATAGTAAAATGTATATGCGTGCCGATCCAACTTTAACCCTATAGATCAGTGGTCCCCAACCTTGGGCCTCTAGATGTTCTTGGACTTCAACTCCCAGAAATCCTGGCCAGCAGAGGTGGCGGTGAAAGCTTCTGGGAGTTGTAGTCCAAGAACATCTGGAGGCCCAAGGTTGGGGACCACTACTATAGATCAGTGGTTCTTAACCTTTGTTACTCAGGTGTTTTTGAACTGCAACTCCCAGAAACCTCAGCCAGCAGAGCTGATGGTGAAGGCTTCTGGGAGTTGCAGTCCAAAAACTTCTGAGTAACAAAGGTTAAGAACCAGTGCTATAGATGATCAGAAGATTGCCTGATATGGGTTGAATGGGCAAGAACTATCAACCAGAGTCCGGAGAAGCCTCATTTTTTTTTAGATGACAGCTGTCCAAATAGCTCAGTGGGTTAGGTATCTGGCTGTGAAGTCAGAGGTTGGGAGGTCGATCCCCCCCCCGAGCCTGTCTGACAGAGGATGGACTTGATGATAGACGATTATTCAAAAAAGGTTCTAGTCAATAATGCCACATTTCTTTTAGATATTCACAGAAGGCACATAGATGAAGTGGCATGCCATCATGGCCTCATGCTTAACTCCCAGCCTATTTTCTTTCATTGAATGCATAGAAGAGACCCTAAAAGTACCCACTCCGTAAACAAAAGCAAACAAGCCTTCTAAATTGCATTTCCGGCCCATCCACGTCTCTGGCTCTGCTTCTAAAAGAGACAATTAGCAGCAGATGAAAACCAGATCTTAGAATACATTTTGTCTGTTTGCTTGTTTTTAGGATACAGGATGGAACATTATTAGCAGAATGCGCCACTTGTGATGAATTAATCATCATATTTATTCATCTCCTTAGGAATCGTTCGGACGGCTTGGCACCCTTCAACCGGGGGAGCTGCCTTTGAACAGAAGCATTTCAAAGCCACCTCCAGGTAGGTTTTTAAAACTGTTTCTGTGGAGCCAGGTGACAATGGCTTTGTTTTCTGACATGGGCTGCCTGTAAATAGCAGGCAGTGCTGGAGAGGAAGAAAGGTGGGCTGGAGCAGGGAGCTCAGTTGAGAAATAGAATTAAAAGGAAGTTAAGCAAGAAGGGGAAAGCCTATGACCTTGAAAACAGATGCATCTCGAAAGAATTTGGCACGGGGAATGGATCTTGGCCACTTTCTGGTGGCTTCTAGAGTTTTCTTCTTTCTTTCTTTCTTTTTTCTTTTCTTTTCTTTTTTCCTTTTTTTTTTTGCTATGACTGTTCAGCGATTCACTGTCCTAGACTTTGGAACTCCCTCCCACTGGACGCCAGCCTGGCCCCATCTTTGTTGTCCTTCTGCAAGCAGGAAAAAACCTTTCTCTTCAGGCAGTGTTTTCCTTAATAATTGGTCATCTGAGAGGGATTTTTAATTTGATTGTTCTGCTCTATTATTTTAAATGTGTTTTAATATTGATTTTATTTACCATTTTTAATATAATATGTGTTTAATTCTTTCTAAACATTTGCATATTTACATTTTCTTAGCTTTTGAATATTGTCTTTTTTTAATGATGTGAGCCACCTTGGGTCTCTTTGGGAGAGAAAGGTGGGATAGAAATATTTTGAATAAATAAATAAAATAAACACATAGTCCTTGTAGTGCATGGAATGCAGTGCATGGAATCTTGATGTTCGATTAGTTTCTCTCCCCACCCCCCTTTGGCCGGCAGTATTGAAAAAAGAATGCAAATTCAACTCGATCAAGATGATGGGCTGTCCTCTGTTCTTCCTGTTTTGTGATGCAAATCCCTGAAACAGAGGGCCAAGCTGGGAGACGAAAGAGAGGAAGTTAATCGGTTTTGCATTATTGAATTATGTCAACAAACAATGGGGAGGAAGGACCATTAATATGCTTGTTCTCCTTAAGGAAGATCAAAGAAGATGACTTTGATCACCTTCCATCCTGCTATCGTTATCTTGATTTACATTTCTGCAAGAAGAGAAAAGAAAATGGGGAGGACCATTAGTATGCTTGTTCTCCTTATGGAATGCAAAGGGCCCTGGATCTGTTGTTTGTTACAGGAAGATCAAAAAAATGACTTTGATCACCTTCCATTCTGCTATTGTTATCTTGACTTACATTTCTGCAAGAAGAGAAAAGAAAATCCACAATGTTGTTGTTGTCTAGTTGTTCAGCCGTGTCCGACTCTTCATGACCCCATGGACCCAGAGCATGCCAGGCCCTCCTGTCTTCCACTGCCTCCCAGAGTTGGGTCAAATTCATGTTGGTCGCTTCAATGACACTGTCCAATCACCTTGTCCTCTGTTCCCTTCTCCTCTTGCCCTCACACTTTCCCAACATCCGGGTCTTTTCCAGGGAGTCTTCTCTTCTCATGAGATGGTCAAAGTGTTGGAGCCTCAGCTTCAGGATCTGTCCTTCCAGTGAGCACTCGGGGTTGATCTCCTTCAGAACGGATAGGTTTGTTCTCCTTGCAGTCCAGGGGACTCTCAAGAGTCTCCTCCAGCACCACAATTCAAAAGCACCAATTCTTCGGCGGTCAGCTCTCTTTATGGTCCAGCTCTCGCTTCCATACATCAAATGAACAATAGTGATGATATATTTCCTGATCTTTTGTCTCCAATTTCCTTCATTAATGCAGGTTCAGCTATTGCATCCAGCGGCAGTGGGAACTAATAATACGAAAACTCATTAGATTCCATCTTAGGGGGCAACTCCATTGACTTGCAATGTGGGAAAAGCTCTGAGTCGTATTTTTTTTCTCATGGACTAAACAATGCAAATCAGCCCAAACTCCACACTAACCCCCAGGTTTTTTCCCCTCTCCCACTGAGGCTTCTATTTATTAAAAATATAGGAAATCCATTTGCATTGGTTCAGGCGGTTTGATCCTTTGAGCTGATGCAGAACTGTGTGTGCAGGGATGAAAGTGGTTAGTGCAATGGTATTTGTGCTGTGGGGGGGGAGTGTTAAAACATAAGGAGGGCTTGATCTTTGAGAATAAGTAAAACTTGGCAAGTAACTCAGAATGTCATTTTTCATAGCTTACAACTGGAAGTTCACACTAAGGGCCAAACCCATACTCAGAAGCAGTGCTCCCTCAAGTGGTGAAAAATGTCTGGCTGTAAATTTTGTGTTTGAGAGAGGGGTATGAGAGCATCTGAACACTGCGTTCCTTTCTTGCTTCTGATATCTGAGATACACATTACAAAGAGGATTTGTTGCTGGCGGGAAAATGTTGTAAGAGCAGAAAACAAACAAGCCCCTGAATGTTTGTTTTATCCCTGAGATAGTGTTCTCTCAACTCTGGTTTCGAGTTCCAACTGGATTCTGCTGATATGCATACAAGGTATTTTCTTACAAGCCCCATTAAGCGCTAAGCTTTGGATCAAGAGAGTTTATCAGCATCAGTGTTTCTGAGCTATGCTTTTTACCTGGGACTCATAGATGAAAGATGAATGGCGTTTTCTACAGAGAGACACATCCATTTTAATGTCATTTTCTCCGCCTGCCACACCGTGCCACAGCTGTTGCAGAACACCGTGTTGCCGTTATCACCTAGGCATAGCTTTTGAGCACACGATGATTAAAAAAGGACCGGCTACCCAGACAAAAATCTGAAACAGCTAAATTGAACCTCTGGAGAATGGCAGATCGCATACGCATGCCAGCAAAGTGTTTCCATTAAAATGGCATTGTAAAGTAATTGATAGCAAAAACAGATCAAGCTGGGGGGGGGGAATTGACACAGGATAAGCATGGTGCTGAAAGCTGTGGGATGGAAATTTGACATGCAATTAGCTTCTTAAGGGATGTGGTGGCGCGGCGGGTTAAACCACAGAAGCCTCTGTGCTGCAAGGTCAGAAGACCTGCAGTCATAAAATTGAATCCACGTAACTGAGTGAGCCCCTGTCGCTTGTCCCAGCAACTGAGTGACCTCCTGTCGCTTGTCCCAGCTCCTGCCAACCTAGTGGTTCGAAAGTATGCAAAATGCAAAATGCGAGTCGATAAATAGGGACCACCTCGGTGGGAAGGTCATGGCGTTCTGTGTCTAGTCATGCTGGCCACGTG